AGGAAGAAGTTTATTTTATGAACATATAACCCTCTTAAAAAAGGAAAAATGGGATAAGTCAAGTACATTACAGAATGTTAACGTTAATGTGCCTCGTAAAAGCATGAAAGGCATTGTACTACTATTCACAGAAAATTCAGTTAGTGATAGTGAAAATTTATATTCCATTAATTGATGAAGTTAAATTAACTATTGAGGGTACCCAATATGGTATTTTGCCAAGGTATGAATAAAACACTATTTTATGAAGAAGCAAGAAAATTTTTGATAGAACTATTCCGATAGATTGCTTCATGACAATTGAAAAATTTTATAAAGATAAATTTGCATTAGTTATCGATCTACGCACCTTTCAAGAAAAAAATATTGCTGGTAACGGAAAACGAATCATGAATACTCAAAACGGCATTCTGCTTGAAATTAAAAAAAGAGCATATACAAAAGATTTAAACTGTTACATCTATGTTATTAGTGATGCTCTTGTTCAATTTGTTAATAATGATTTACAAAGTATTCAATACTAAATAACTAGTAATATATAAATGGACACACCCTTTAATATGATTATTGTAGGCATGACGAATTGTGGTAAAAGTCATTACCTTCTCACAATGTTAGAAAAAAACTTTAATAGACATTTCGATTACATTATTTTATTATGTCCAACGCTATCATATAATAAAACCTATCAAGAATGGAAATATATAAATGATTCTGATTTAATTAAAGTAGAATGTGACCAAGATCAGGTAGATATTGTTTTAAAATATGTTAGTGATGTATATAAAGGTACAAATAGTCTTATTATACTTGATGATTGTGCAAGTTGCTTAGATGTTAAAAATAGGACATCCAATTAATAAAATTAGGATTCAGTGCTCGTCATTATGGGCTTTCTACTATTGTGATTACACAGCAATTGACAAGTATTTCTAAACCTTATCGTGAAAATATAAGTTATTTAGTTACATTTTATAATCCAAACCGCAATGATATGAAAACCATAATTGATGATTATCTTTATGGTTTTGAGAAAGATGATATAGAAGAAATAACCAAAAAATTGAAAAATAATAAGTATGCACATTTAGAAATTCAACTTGTATACCCATACCAATTGAAAATTGTTATTACGCAATAAAACATGTGTTATATATATGCCAAAGCGTAAAGAGCCTGAAACAATTGATGATATAATTAATGAGATTGATTCCGCAAATGATACTATCAAAGATGCCGTATGTGATAATAATATATAAGATAAACCGCAAGAAAGTTTTAATAAAAGAGATCAACTACTTAAACTAGCTGAAGATGGTGATTTAGACAAGTCAATTGCTTACATTAAAAAAGCTAGTCAAAAAATTATTGATAAATTGTACACTGAATACGAGAAAAAACGATTACAAAAAACCAATGAGTTTTTAACTGACTTAGTTATATCAAAATTTTCAGATATATTAAAAGGGTTTGATGCTATTGAAAATCCCAAAGAATTAACAAAACAGCTTAAATCAGACGACCTTTTAAAACGAGATGTGTATAGTTTAGTAGAAAAAATATCACCCTATTACCTTTTTAGGATTTTATCTGGTGGTATAACAACTATTAAACATGTTTACGAACATAAAAATAATAAACCGGATATAAAATCTGAGGAATAATATAAATGAGCTTATTTTATGGACATGATAAAACAGATATTAATGTAAATATACAAGGATCTGTAGATAAAACACATCTATCAGATAACTATTATACTAAAACTCAAGCTGATGGTAAGTGCTTTGATTTCTAATTTACTAAAATATTATACTAAAACACAAGCTGATAATAAATATGTTTTGTTTCAAGATTAGCCAACTATTATACAAAGAATGAAACAAATGGTAAGTATGCTTTAAGTTCTAATTTAAATAAATATTACACAAAGACTGAAACAGATGGTAAGTATGCTTTGACTTCTAATTTAAATAACTATTATACTAAAACACAAGCTGATGGTAAATATTATACAAAGACTGAAACAGATAGTAAGTATGCTTTAAGTTCAAATTTAACTATTATAATAAGAATGAAACAGATAATAAGTATGCTTTGACTTCTAATTTAAATAACTATTATACTAAAACACAAGCTGATGGTAAATATTATACAAAGACTGAAACAGATAGTAAGTATGCTTTAAGTTCTAATTTAAATGACTACTATACTAAAACACAAGCTGATGGTAAGTATGCTTTGACTTCTAATTTAAATAACTATTATACTAAAAATGAGATTGATAGCAGAGTAAATGGTAAAGTAGTATACCATAGTAATCAATTAAATTATAACCCATCTAATAATAATAGCCAAAAAAATATTATCAGAATTAATTTTAATAATATTAAATCTATTGAATTTACACTTTTATTAATAAATCCATCTGATAACTCTAAAACAATTGAATTAGATGTGATGGTAGATAAGATTAACAAAAAATTTATCATTAAAATAACAAATGATAACGAAAAAAAGATAGCTAATGCATTACTAGATTTATATCATGTATACTGTGTTGATGATAATTTAAACTATATTTATATTATTATTGAACAAAAAAATCTCCAGCTTCACTAGGTTATATGGAATGGAAAAGAAAATGGATTAAAGCATTTAATGGATTAACCAAAATACAAGTTTATTCACCATCAATCTACATTATCTATGATATAATGGTTATTCACAAATTTTGGGCTACTATAGAAGATAATATTCTATCAACTAAAAATTTGTAAATGATGAAATCGAAAAATTAAAAAATTTATTAAAATAACTATCAAGCTAAAACCTAAAGATAAGTAATTAATACAAAAGCGATATACAAAAGAATTCAAAATCCTGAAACAATTATTAAAAACAATTTTAACAAAAATTATATGACACTCGCTTGACAGACAAATTAAAAAAACATATAGATTACATATTTTGTACAACATTGTATTATACATGCGCTGATGAAATGTGCTGCTTACATTAAACAACCATTGTTAAAAACATGCACAAGACACGCGCTTGACAGACAAATTAAAAAACATATAGATTCCATATTTTGTACAACATTGTATTATTATACATGCGCTGATGAAATGTGCTATTACATTAAACAACCATTGTTAGAAACATGCACTAAGACACGCGCTTGACAGACAAATTAAAAAACATATAGATTCCATATTTTGTACAACATTGTATTATTATACATGCGCTGATGAAATGTGCTATTACATTAAACAACCATTGTTAGAAACATGCACTAAGACACGCGCTTGACAGACAAATTAAAAAACATATAGATTCCATATTTTGTACAACATTGTATTATTATACATGCGCTGATGAAATGTGCTATTACATTAAACAACCATTGTTAGAAACATGCACTAAGACACGCGCTTGACAGACAAATTAAAAAACATATAGATTCCATATTTTGTACAACATTGTATTATTATACATGCGCTGATGAAATGTGCTATTACATTAAACAACCATTGTTAGAAACATGCACTAAGACACGCGCGCTGCTACTGATATTTTAATAACACTTGATTATTAACACTTGATTATTAAAGACGGTTTTTTGAAGAGCATTTCTTAAGCCTCTGTTATTCTCGAATATTCTTCGAATATTCTTCGAATCTATGGGGGAACCCCGATTTTTCACTTCGTGAAAAATTTCCCCACCTGGGTTCCAGAATTCTCGAGCATCCCATTCCCCTGCTCGATCACTTCGTGATCTGTGCTGCCGGATGCTCTCCGAACCGATGCTTATTAAGATTTGTTTGTAAAGACCGTTTATAAAATTTAAACGCACCTATATATTTCAAAAACATATAGATTCCATATTTTTAAACGATAGATTGTAAACTCGAGTTTTTTACCCCCCTTTGAAACAATGACTTTTTACATGGCCTTTAACTGAGGGACGCCTTTGAAACATGGCCTTATTTTACGCTGTTATAAAGATAGTTTTTACCCACGAGTGTAGTAGTAATATACATGGGGGATTCGAATACATAAAAAGTAAACTTTTTATGGATTCGTACCCCCATGTATATTACTACTTACTTTCAAACACTTTTTTGTTGGACTATTTCTAATTGTCAAACCTTCACTGACTGGGCAATTTCCATTTAAGATTTCGTGCATTTTATTTGCGTAGTCAAGCGCTTCTTGCAAAGTTTTTAGCTCGTTGACGGTGAATGCCTGAGTTCAAACAAGGCTCAACTTCTCCAGCAATAAATTTCGCGTTTGTGCAGTTTCCTTTAGTTCGCAACATTTTTCTCTCTTAATTTTGTTTTCCTTTGTTTCACGTCTTCTTTCATCCTCTTGCACTATTACGTCATAAGTATGCTCGACAATCTCTGCATTGTTTTTGTTTTCATTATCAGTCTCATCGTGTTTTCTCTTTTTTTCATTTTCTTCCAGATTCAAGCCGTTGTCCAATGTTATGAAAATGCTTTTTTTATAGTGTTGTGGGAGGGCTGTGAAAATCCATTCTTTAAAAGTATTGAAAATTGCGTACATGTGTTTACAGGGAAATTGCGTTTTTCTCCACGAATGACAGCTACACTTTGGAACACCGAGATTGTTTTCATACCATTTAGTTTCGTCTGATGAGCTCCTAACGCAGAAATCACCGTTACTATTGTCGATGCAATCAACATCATTATTGCGAAATTCGCGCGATGCGAATGAACTTTTCATACAGTGCTTGATAAAGAGGGGAGGATCATCATGTGTCTATATGTGACAAAGGAAAAAAGGAGGAAGAGAAGGATGAAAAACAGAGTGGTAGCGTAGAGAAAACAGAGCAGGTAAATGTGAGTAACGTGCATGTGAGTACAAACACTAGGGTAGCCTTGAAGACTGCGCAAGGAATTCTTGTAGGTCGGAATAGGAAGAGAGTGCGAGTGCTTTTTGACTCGTGAAGTCAGAAGTCTTTTATGGCAAACATGGCAAAACAAGATGCAAAGCATAATGTAGCAAGGCGGGAATTTTTAGAGGTCAACACTTTTGGTGATGGAGCAAATGAAGGTAAGATGACAGGGGTCATCAATTGCGAGGTCGCATTAGTTAGGGGTAATTGCAAAATTCGTTTAGAGGCATTAGTAGTTCCACGTATTTGTACTGTAGAAAATGAGTATATTGAGGTGGCTAAAAAGAAGTATTCTCATTTGAAAAATTTTTTTTTGTCAGAAGTAAGTTTGAAGCAGGAGATGTTGGAAGTGGATGCTTTGATAGGAGCAGATAACCTTTGGGCTTTTCATAAAGGATAAATAATTAGGGGCAAAAAGGATGAGCCATTTGCGATTGACACTTGTTTAGGATGGGTTGCAAGCGGTCCACTGAAAGGGAGCTCGAAAGTCAAAAATGCACATGTTAATTTAGTTTCGCAGACTGCAACGCAGAAAAACATAAACAGGCAGGTGAACAAGTTGTGGGATTTAGAAACACTTGGGGTCAGGGAAACTGACGATGTGCACGAGCCTTGTTAGATAAAATTGAGTTTAATGGGCATAAGTACTCTGTTAAATTGCCGTGGAAGCAAGGTCATGGGCATTTACCAAGTAACTATGCCAATAGTTTAGCACGCATGAAAGGAAATTAAGCGTTTGTCAAATGAGCCTGATTTGTTAAAGGAATATGATAAAATTATCAGGGATCAACTAAAACGGAGTCATTGAAAGGGTTGACGAGTCAGAACCGGGATGAATGTTCATTATCTTCCCCATCAAGCGGTTATACGTAAAGAAGCCAAAACAACTAAGCTAAGAATAGTGTATGATGCATCATCAGGGTAAGAAAGGGACTTCTTTGAATGACTGTCTTCATGTAGGAGCATCATTAACACCGTTGTTGTTTGATATATTAATTAGATTTAGGGAGAACAGAGTGGCCTTGGTAGGAGACATAGAAAAAGCATTTTTGAACGTAAAGTAGACAAAGCAGACAGGGACTATTTAAGATTTCTGTGGGTTAGAGATGCGACAAATGCCAATTTAGAGGTTGTTGTTTACAGGTTTTGCAGAGTAGTGTTTGGATTAAATGCTTCGCCATTTTTACTCAACGCCACGCTTAGGCATCACATAGCGCAGTTTGCAGAATCACATCCAGTGCTTGCTCAAGAATTGAATGAAGGATTTTACGTTGATGACTTAGTTTTGGGGGGCAAAAGCGCACACGAAACGATCGATTTATATGAAAATGCGAAATTTAGAATGTCTCAAGGCGGGTTTAAATTAAGGAAATGGAAGACAAATGACGCAAACGTACGAGCGCATATAGAACAGCGTGATTGCGAGAACAATGTCGTGCAGGTGACAGATCCAGACGATGAAACATTCACACAATGGAGTTTGGGAGTCCAAAATAACGATGATTACACAAAAGTTTTAGGTATATGCTGGGATTGCGGCAATGACCTGTTCATGTTCGACCTACAAAAGTTTGTAGTAGACTTGAGTCACAAGAAGCTAACTAAACGAAACCTGCTGAGCGCATCAGCAAAGATATTTGATCCGCTAGGTTTAATTAGCTGCGTAATAGTTTTGATGAAAATCTTGTTTCAACAGTTGTGCGTAGAAAAGATTGATTGGGATGACGAGATAAGAGGAAAGCACGCCGGTCTATACACTGAATGGATTGAAGATCTAAACCGTGTTAAGACTATTAAGCTAAATAGATGCATCTATAGTGGTGTGAAGGGCAAAATTCAATCTTTTGAACTTCACGGGTTTGGTGATGCAAGCGAGAAAGCGTATTGCGCGCTAGTATATTTTGTTTGTCGCACGAGTGTTGGAGTCTTTGTGAAATTGTTAACAGCAAAAACTAGAGTTGCGCCGCTGAAGAATTTACTATACTGCGCTTAGAATTGATGTCCGCGCTGATGTTAGCAAAGTTAATGGCATCTGTGCGGAAAGCTTTAGTAGGCCAAGTAGGAAAAATAGAAGCAAGATACTTTTTAGATAGTATTACAGCATTATATTGGATTCAGAATCGCGGTGAGTGGAAACAGTTTGTTAGACATAGAGTAAATGAAATCTTAGCAATAACACAGAAGGAGAAGTGGGGACATTGTCCAGGAATGGAAAATCCCGCTGATTTAGGAAGCAGGGGAGTGTTTGCGTCGAAGATACAAGAGCAATCACTTTGGTGGACAGGACCAAGGTGGCTGAGTAGCGTAGAAAGAGAATGGCCGCAATCAGAGGTAGGCGTAACTGGGGAGAGTAAAGAAGAAGAAAAGCGGACGGCACTATTAGTAGTAGATACTAACGAAGAAATAGGTATTCAGAACGTGATCTCTATAGAGAGGTACAGTAGGGTTGAGAAGTTATTCCGTGTAACGGCATGGGTCACACGATTTGTCAGGAATTTGATCGCTAGGATCAAAGGGAAACATGAAGATTTAACCTTCACGGAATTAGGGAGTCAGGAGATAAGTAAAACAAAAAAACTTTGGTTGAAGTCTTCACAAGACAGGCTAAAGAAGGAGGATAAGTTCAAGCAGTTAGAGGTACAACTCAAGGTAGTGGAAGATGAGGGGTTACTAAAATGTCAGGGTAGGCTAGCAGAATCAGACTTGGAAGAGCAAACGAAGTTTCCAATCTTATTACCAAAGGAAGGTAGATTGACGGAATTAATAGTTGTGCATTGCCACAAAAAGGTACATCATAGCGGAATTAGGGCAACTTTAGCAGAGATAAGGTCAAGGTTCTGGATTTCACAAGGCAGACAAAAGGTAAAATCAATTCTCAACAAATGTGTCGTGTGTAAGAAATTAGATAGTAAACCATATAATAGACCTAACAAAGCAAACCTTCCGGCATTCAGAGTAGAGCAAGCGGAGCTATTTTTGAAGACAGGGGTAGAGTTTGCTGGTCACTATATGTGAAATATACATCAGGGGCGGGGGGGGGGGACAGACAAAGCATACATCGCATTGTTTTCCTGTTGCGTAACAAGGGCCTTTACATTTAGACCTAATTAAAGATTTGTCTGCGGATGAATTCATGAGATGTCTTAGACGATTTTTAGCTAGAAGTGGGACCCCATCATTAATGGTATCAGACAATGTAAAAACATTCAAAGCCACAGTCAAGACTTTAGAAAACCTCTATAATAATGCAAGTGTACTAGGGTATTTAGGAAACAATACCATAGAGTGGAAATTCAATCTAGAAAGAGCTCCCTGGTGGGGTGGATTTTTGAAAGGATGGTTAGGTCAGTGAAGCGGTGCTTGAAGAAGGTATTAAGAAATACTAGGTTTACATTTGACGAACTATTGACAGTGATGGTAGAAGTTGAGGCAACATTAAATTCTAGGCCATTGACTTATACGTACGACGAGGTGGGTAGTGAACCATAAACTCTCTCGCATTTGGTGACGGGAAGAAGGTTGTCCATGCCAGACGAAGGGTCTGGTTAAGAGGAGTCTGATGAGGGTAAAAACGGTATCAGTTTTTGAGTAAAAAATGCATTTTGGAATAGGTGGCGTAAAGAGTATTTGGTTGGTTTAAGAGAGTTTCATATGCAGGAGAAGTACAATGCCAATAGGGTAGTAGAGAAGGGAGATGTCGTGACTGTTTATGAGGATAATGTCAAAAGAAAAAATTGGAAGACAGGTGTAATAGAGGGGTTGTTTTTAGGGAGAGATGAGGTAGTAAGAGGCGCTTAATTCAGGCTAGTTAAGAACGGTAAAGTTATTCATCTCAATCGTCCCGTCCAAAAGCTCTTTCCTACCGAGTTAAAGCACGACGAAAGAGAATGTGAGCAAAAAGAGAATGAAAAAGGACTGAGAAGAAGGGAGGCGAAACAGGAGGGTAGACGAAAGAGAGCCGCTGCTCTTGATTCTGTATGGAAGACACGGAGTATGCTTGATTAGTGGGACTAATCAAGGTGGGGAGTGTGTTGTAAATTTTTTTGTCAAATTATGTAGCTTGTGACTGTGTCATATTATAGATTATAAGATATAACTGATATTATTAAATTGATGTAAAATACTATATTCATGTTAATGAACACTTTCTCACCGCAATGCGTCATTGCTGTAGGATGTAGGTAGAAACGGAATAGCAAAGTTGCAAGTCATAAATATAATTATACATAAATATAATTTGCAAGCGTTGGTTTGGGAGTACGGAAAAGTTGACGTTATTGGTGTATGAACTGCTCATACAAATTTAACAAATTAGAGTCGTATTGCAGAAGGCAACAAAGCTCAAAAACGCAGTTCTAGGATTGACGGTTGTTTGTAATCTTATCAAGATCAATTTAATTATTCCGTATCGCGAAGAACCAACGCTTGTAACGTAAAATCGTGCACAACACTGTAAACATCTTATTGAAGTGTTAAAATATTATATTCAAAATACAGTCCCATCATTAGTGTGAAGTTTGAGAACAGTGAACCAGCACTTCGCACAGATTGTTCGAAAACTAAAGTTTCAATAGCATTATCTGGGTTCGGTGCAACCCCCCTTTGGAGCCAAATTGTTTCAAGATAATCTTCCAAAAACCGTGCATGACTGAGTTATCATTGAGGATATTTTTTATATTTCAGGTGATCCCATAGTTTTTGGCAACCTACCACCAAGTGAAGAATGTGTTTGGGCGCTCTGTGATGCAATAAAGTCAGGAAAGGACAACTGCTACATACCAGCTCATGGTTAGTTACATCAATCGCTTTGAGTGCTTCAATCACCCGTGGACCCTACCCCCCTGGGAAATTTATCTTCAAAAATATCATTTAACAAAATTATATTGCAAGCAGAATCTTCTAGCAAAATAATAGTGCATCACCCTCCCCGGAATCCATCTTCACAAATATCATTTAATGACACCGGATTGTAAGCAGAATCTTCTAGCAAAATAATGATGCAAAATAGTTCTTGCCAATTCTTTTTTTACAATGATCACAATAGTTAGACTTTATTTTAACCTTTTGGAACAAATAAGTCCAGTTAAAGAACACTTTTACATAAAGATTGATTCTCTTTGTAATACAAAGGGTGTATAAAATTCTTCAACATTTAGACATCACAAAATATTCCAATTTTCTGACGATGACTTTGGAATGAATTCAAGATCACAAGATGTTTACAACTTGCACTATTCAGCAGTAAATTATCCCCTAGGAGGCTGAACATAATTTAAAGGAGTTTCGTGTTCGGGATTTGCATTGGACAGTAGCTGAAATTTGTGTAGTCTTCAAAGACTTTTTAATATAGTCTACTAGTAAACAGTGTAAGTTCCCTTACTGTAACCAAACACTTTAAATATTCGTTGTTCTGTGGCTACTTGAACGATTCGTAATGGAACTGATTGATAGTACCACGTAAAGTGGAATTTTGCTGCATTGTTCTAGCTTACATGACGTACAAATTTAGAATTTGTATTATGATTTGAGGAGTGTGGAAAGAATGGTATGATAATTGTCAGTGTTTGCTTCACAAATGAAAGGATTGCTGTTGTTTTGATACACACTGTGTGTGTTCCACTATTCCAGTCATATACAATCATCTGTATTTGTTTTTGCAGGATGCAAATAGGCACGAAATGCCGTTGCAAAATACAGTTCAACACCTGAATTCCTCGTGGATGCTGAAGTACATATTCCTGCTCCATAACTATAGGACACTTGTTAATGGTGATATTGATGGAGTAATTGGGAGAAATTCATGTTAGCATGTTCGTTTTCCTAAAGCCATCGTCTCTAATTTTACTTCAGGCAGCTTTGTTGATGTCTACGTTAACATGAAGGATTCCTTCTTATGAATGCAGAAAATCTAACTTTTCATCCTCTCCCACCCCCTTTCTGCCCCTCCACCAAGTTTTGGCATTCCATTGTATATTTCTTTAAAATACAACTCATTGACAACGGTCAACGAAAATGTGACTGTTTTCTCGCGTTTCATCTTGTTATATCATTTACAGTGAGTAATATTTTTAAGGAACGATTTTGAATTTACTCAGGGTTATAGCATCCTTGTTGAATACACTTCTCTCACCACCCCACTCCCCCCTCCTCTCAATAAGTTTTTAACAAGGAACAAAGTTTATTTAAGATTTAAGTGTTTTAGTCTCACCCTTTAAATTACCGGGGGCGAATGAAAATAACGTATGCACCTACATAAAATGTCTTTCAAGTGTTAGGACACCTGAGAATGCAACCGCCCTAACCCGACTTAACAAAATGAGAGGCTTTTTACACAAATAATTTTATGAAAACGCCTATACTTCTATGTTTATGTTGTTTTCTTTACAGGATGTTGTGTTGGCCAGCGGTTGCTCTGGAGCAATCGAGATAGCATTAAACGCCCTAGTTGATCATGGTGATAACATCCTAATTCCAAGACCTGGTTTCTCTCTTTACAAATGCATCTGTGGATCGAGGGGGATTGAAACACGATCTTATAAACTCTTTGTAAGTTTGTACAAATTAAAGATATTACGTTTACGTTACTGCTTACGACTAAAGACTGTTTTTATTGTGTGCTAATTATGATAATGAATATTAAAGACTGTTCTCATAATCATGATAATGGTGATTTAAGAATATTCTAATTATGTTCTGATTGTGATAGTGGAAATCAACGACTTTTCCAATTTATTCTTCAATGAAGTTAAACAGTCTGTAGTTCAAAGGATTCCTTTAAAACTAATCTTGTGGTGTTGCTTTGGAGTTCATGTTCAAATGAATAATGATTATTTATAATTTTCAGCCTGAAAATGGTTGGGAAGTCGACTTGGACGATATGGCTTCACTTATTGACGAGAGAACAAAGATTATTGTCGTTGTCAACCCATCAAATCCCTGTGGTTCTGTGTACAAAAGAGAACATTTGGAAGAAATTTTTAACAGTAAATATCTCAAGACATGTACAAGTTTTTTCCTCCGATTTAACCAACAAACTTCGTGCATTCATATTGGTCTTATTTTCTTACAGTTGCTGAAAAATACCACATCCCAGTTCTTTGTGATTAAGTCTATGGACATGTTGTAAGTTCTCGTTATTTTAATGTGACGTGACGACTTTTGAATTTCCTGATGCCCTAAATTATCTGACTTTAAATACGTTCATGTTTCAACTAATGTAAGGTCATCACGATTGTAATAGTCGCTTAAACAAGAAAGCTTCAAATTTGTGCATCTCGAAGGTGGGTTTGGTCAGGTTATGAGTGAGGCAAGCCGCCATCTTAAAAGGTGGCAAAACGTACAGAATTTACGACAAATATCTGCTTTTCCTGATTTCATATACAGTTGCAAATTTGACAGTCGAGGTTTGGTTTTTTAAATAATTGTTTGGAATGGGTTTTGAGACATCTTTCATGATGGCGTCCTTGCCTCACGTCGACACAGTTGTTAGACATGCAGGGGGTTGGGTTCTAAATTTTATTGGTACTGCCCGAGAAGGTGATCAGGCTTGGCAACACTGAATAAGGCTTGAACTAAATTAATTTTTTCTCACATTTCCTGCAGACATTCGGCAAAGAGCCTTTCCATAGCATGGGAACTTTAACAAAAAATGTTCCTGTTCTAGTTGTCGGTGAGCATGCGCATTTCTATTGCATTACGTCATTTTGAGGAAACTATACAATCGTTATGTGTCAATGACAGGTTCTTGGTGCCAGGCTGGCGTATCGGATGGATGGTAATTCACGACAGAAATGATTCCTTTGGTTTTAAGGTATGAATATATCGCTTGCACAGATCTCATAATACACTAGATAGTGCAACGGCTTACATTTAATAATTAGTGGTTGAAGCCGGGCAAATTTACTTCCGGAGCCCCAAAGCAGTGAGAATCAATATGGCGTTGTATTAGAAAATATCTGGTCAAAGCTGATATCTTGCAATTACTTGCAAGTCACGACGGTTACATAAACTGGTTTACTCTATTAATGAAAAAAAGTAATGTGACCATAGTTTTTTTAAGAAAAAGATTGCAGAATACGCCAATACATCGCCGTAAAAGTGATTTCAAGAGTAGCTCGATTTGAAAGCATCAGCAGCGACGAAGGCTTAAGATACTGGGATTTGCACATCTAAATATCATATCACAGCACAATCTGCCACAAAATGTTCAATCGAACGTCGTGGAATTATCTTCCGATATTTATTATTAAGTAAAACGAGTTGGAGATTACAGTTTGAAAGATTTTTCACGATTTATATAAAGTATTAAATAATTTTAGCTAATGAAATGGTGGTTTTTACAATGTTTTTAACCAGATAATTATTTCAGAATTATGATGAAACAAGTCATAGACATTATAGAGATCAACTTGTTGAATTGGCGCGAAAGATAGAGATATACATATTTCGTACTTTAGTCTGCGGTTTGCCAAATATCAAAGCTACTAGCATATAGTGCAAAAAAAAGATTATAGATCTTTAAAAAATGCCAGACAAATGTGGCACTCAATGCTGCGCATATGGCTGTACAAAACGCAAGAAAAAAATCAATGAGGAAGACGACGAGCTCAATCGGAGCAGTAGCGAAGGGCCATCTGACGACGAAACCTCCATTAAAAGACAGTTTCCACGGACGTTTCGTCGCTAACCTCTTTAACGTTCACATGAATAGCAATGACAAAGTTAATTTTTCGGAGGGCAAAAGAGCAATTACTTAATTATCTTTCTGATCTTAATTACTTTATATGCACACAAATTTACTTAGAATAATTGTAATGAGGGAGGTTGTCCCCACACTTCCCTTTAACAGTGTTTATGCAAGTAGTGCACTTTTTTCTACATTTGTACTTGATAAACGGTAAAATAGCCACGATTTTTTACTTTTGACAAGATTCCTGCTGATCTTGAAAGAAGAAAGGTATGGATTAAAATATACACAGAGAACGTTGGACACCTAGCGCGACAAGCAGGCTGTGTTCAGATCACTTTCTGGAAAGCTGTTTTGACAGATCTGGAAAAGTTGTTAAGTTGCGAAAAGATGCTGTTCCAACTCGTTTTAAACTCTTTCCACAACATATGAAAAAGGTGAATAACAATTAAAGAAAAATTTGGGATAATAGTTTTTAGAAACAAAGATTGGAAAAAAATGATTGTTTAAAAGTTGCATAACTATGTACATGTAATTGTTCACACTGAGTTGCACACTGTAGCTAAAATTAGTTCTGCCTGCTACACGATATGCATGTATCGTACATCAACATGATAAAACCAATTAAGATCAGTTCGACTGTCTGCAAGATCAAAAATTTCACCAACGTATTCAGAAAACATTTAAATCTGTTAGACCACCACTACGAGAAAGCGACCTCTAATTAGGACTGTCGAGAGTGACGATGACGATCTTTCTGAGAAGAAGACAATGCTTGAAGACCATGAAACGGAAGAAATGAAGAATATTCATCAGCAAAAGGTTTCAAACCTTAAAAAGAAACTTAAGTCGACCCAGCAAAAAGCAAGACGCCTTAACAAAAAAGTTACCTCACTGACGTCAGTTATAAAGCAGCTTAAAGAAAAGAATCTGATTTCCTCGTCTTGCGAAGAAAGGCTGGTAAGAAATATAGCTGGTGTTTCAACAGAGCTATACAAAAAAATGATGTCAAAGACACGTCAAGGATGAACTTAAATCATTTGCATTAACTCTTCAGTTTTATTCGTCGAAAGCTTACGATTTTGTACGCAAAACATTCAATTTAGCTTTACCTCATCCAATACAAATTCGTAAATGGTATACGAAGGTCCCTGCTGAAGCAGGATTTACACAGCCATCATTTGAAGCACTTGCCTTGAAAGTAAGAAATAAAGAGAAGTTAGAGTGTTCCTTAATGATCGATGAAATGGCTATTAAAAAACATGTATCATGGGATGGCATGAAATTTCGTGGCTTTGTTGATCTCAGAAACGACGATGAAGCTGATGATTCTACTCCCGTTGCAAAGGATGCTCTAGTTTTTATGGCAGTTTGCTTGAAACAAACGTGGAAAGTTCCAGTAGCCAACTTCTTTATTGATGGACTGAGCGGTGAAGAGCGCGCAAATTTGGTTGAGCTGTGCATCCAGAAACTTCACGATATCGGTGTTGATGTGATTTCTTTTGTATGTGATGGGCCATCCTGCCATTTCGCTATGTTACGAGCTCTTGGAGCAAGTATGACACCACCTCAACTACACCCATATTTCATCCATCCATCAGATAAAAACAGGAGAGGTTATGTGTTCCTCCATATTTGCCACATGATCAAGCTTATTAGGAACACGCTGGGAGATGGCAAAATATTAGTTGATGGTGATGGTCAAAGAATATGTTGGGAGTATATTACAGAATTACAAAAGCTCCAGGATAACGAAGGCCTGAAACAAGTTGAAGGAAGTACATATAAAATGGTGGCAGCAGAAAATGAAAGTAAATTGGCTGCCCAAACACTAAGTTCCAGGGTTTCTGATGCAATAGAATACTGCACAAACACTCTTAAACTTCCACAATTTCAAGGATAAGAAGCCACTGTCTACTTTATTTGCCTACACACAAGACTACACACAAGGCTAACCTACACACAAGACTAACCTACACACAAGACTAACACAACATACCACTAATTACAATAATTCTAGTGCTATCTCACAACATTTACTCATTTGTCCAGAGGCCAACTACATCTCACACCTTTTCTCACTTCCTGACGTTGACTCTGACCCCGATCTCACACGCGTGCCATTTAATCCTTGTAATTTGATTCCAAGTAACACCAAAATCTTATATCGATGTAATAATAATAATCCTAATCAACTTCTCATCTTAGAAGCGCTTTTCATAAAACGCAATATGCTACAACTTAATAGTGGTCTCAAAGCTTCTAAGAAATTATCTCTATTTTAATGTAAGTATACTGCCTGATTGTTTAGTCTTCTAATTACGTTACTGTCACTTCCGCATGTAAATAATTATATAAAAGTTTCGCAGCCTGCATTGTAAACTATTAGTCTGATGATGTCTTTGGAATAATGACGAAATATTACACCATCTTTTGTTTCAAACTCTTGTATTATCTTGAATATCAAGAAACGAGATGTCCCTTTTCGGAATTTGTTTTATTTTGTATTACTTGAAATTGTCTGTTTGTCCTGGTCATTTGTCGTAAATAATGTTTCCATAATTTCGTAAAAGCACTATTGCTAATGCGCATTTAATATACACGACGACTTTTTTTAGATCAGAAGATGACATCATGAGATGAAAACTGACATCTTTGTTGCCGGCGCCAAGCAATAAAAAATAAATATTAAAGCATCCTAAAACGAAAAATATAAAAATCAGATTTAATGATTAGGATTTCAACTTTTAAGTCCGAACGCTATTTTTAAGTATCTCTGATCATTGAGATGTGACAAAATTAACCTTCTTACCTAGTATCAGTCGTCAAAAATCTTTATTTGAAAAGTTTTCGTTCATAATCTTAATTTGTTTGAGCTATCTTATTGGTAAAAATGGTATTACATATTTTGTCTGGCTGCCTCAACTTTGCGTTTATTAATAGTTTAGTTCTCCAGAGAACATTTCAATAATTCAAATAAATGTATGTAAACTGTGTATAAGGTTTATCAAATTTAACTGAAACATAATTTGTCGTAAAATTTATAAATCATGTATTCTCATCAGTCATAGCTAAAATATAAAATTTGCCCATCTCATTTTATCGTCTCGCTGTTATGAACTGAATTCAATATTTTACAATAAAAACAGCAGGTGATTAATATCAAGCATTTATTTAATATTCCAATTTCTTTATTATCAAGCAAAAGCAAACACATCTTATAGTTGGTTCCGTCGTTATTAATCTTTCTGAATTTGTGAAGGTATGTTAACTATAAAGTTCACCCATCATAGTGTTATTGTTTGTTCTTATGTCTAGAATTTTGTTATATTTGTCACAAAAAGCCTGAATGTCATTTTCGTGATGGAATTCACACTTCATATGTTTTATATTGATACGTCTGTTGATTTTGGTGGGATTTTCCCAACAACACATTGGATAGATTTTCATTTTAAAGTACTGATTTTTCTGGCCTTGTCGCCAACAGTTAATTTCATTAGTCTTTTCAAATATAATTGGTACGGCAGGGCTAAAAATTAACAAGATGAATAAAAATTATGACACGTCACAATTCAGTTATGAATACATTATGTGCAATAATTTTAATTTTATCTAACATGGCTTTTATCAAGAAGAATTTTTTTCCTCATTCATATAGTCATCTATCTATTTATCTTATTCATAACACAGATGATGACATAAAAACGTTTTACTAGGTATGTCTTTAGAAATTGCGCTTACTTGGGATGAAAAGCTCATTTGTTCACGTGATAGTACACGTGATTTTTTCTGGTCTATACTTGTTCAACTTGTTGTAAGATAGACTATTTAAAATATTTGTTTGCGTGAAAAGTTCACAAAATGACAAAACTTTACATGAACTGTCAAGTCCAAACTCTATCAATTTTGATTTATCTCTTATTACTGACATGTGACAAAATTATTCTAAATTAGAGACTTCGACATAAATTACTCTGATATTCCCATTTTAAATAAAGACTGCCCCTAAAATCTTGAGCCCCACAACTTTTACTTGCTTCTCACGCCCCTGATCAGATTATTTGTTTATTCGGATCAAAAGTTCATAAAATGACAAAACTTCATTGACTACGTTTCAAAGTTGGAACGCTGACAATTTTAAAGAAGCTCTGTTTATTGATTTTCTTAACTTCCTAAATTATAAATCTTTAATTTTTGAGCTATCTTACTTGTAAAAGTCTGGCTTCCCCGTCTTCCTTTAAGATTATTTCAGTTAGTTTGTATGTAAGCCAGGATGTTCAATAATTGAACTAAATAATAGTAAATTGTGAAAGGTTTATTGGCATAAAGCTTCCAAGTCAAAACATCTTTGTGTTTACTTCAGTTATAGCTAAAATAAGAAACTTGCATTTCATATTCTATTTGGTGTGAACAGAATTCAAAATTTTACAATAAAAACAGCAGGTGATTAAATTCAAGCATTTATTTAACATTCCAATTTCTTTATTATCAAGCAAAAGCAAACACATCAAGTAGTTGGTTCCGTCGTTATTAATCTTTCTGAATTTGTGAAGGTATGTTGACTATAAAGTTTACTCATCATAGTGTTATTGTTTGTTCTTAAGTCTAGAGTTTTGTTATATTTGTTACAAAAAACATGAATGTCATTTTCGTGATGGGATTCACACTTCATATGTTTTATATTGATACGTCTGTTGATTTTGGTGGGATTTTCCAAATAACACATTGGATAATTTTTCATTTCAAAATACTGACCTTTCTTGCGTTGTCACCAACAATTAATTTCATTAGTCTTTTCAAATATCATTGGTACGGCAGAGCTAGAAAATCAACAAGATGAATAAAAATTATGACACATCACAGAATTTCAGTTATGCATACATTATGTGTAATAATTTTAATTTTATCTAACATGGCTTTTATCAAGAAGAATTTTTTCCTCATTCATATAGTCATCTATCTTTTTATCTTATTCCTAACACAGATGATCACATAAAAACGTTTTACTAGGTATGTCTTTAGAAATTGCGCTTACTTGGGATGAAAAGCTCATTTGTTCACGTGATAGTACACGTGATTTTTTCTGGTCTATACTTGTTCAACTTGTTGTAAGATAGACTATTTAAAATATTTGTTTGCGTGAAAAGTTCACAAAATGACAAAACTTTGCATGATGAACTGTGAAGTCCAAACGCTATCAATTTTGAAGTAGCTCTGATTACTGAGATGTGACAAAGTTATTCTAAATTAGAGACTTCGAGATCAATTACTCTGATATTCCCATTTTAAATAAAGACTGCCCCTAAAATATTGAGCCCCACAACTTTTACTTGCTTCTCACGCCCCTGATCAGATTATTTGTTTATCTTGTAAAAAGTTTACAAAATGACAAAACTTCATTGACCACGTTTCAAAGTTGGAACGCTGATAATTTTAAAGAAGCTCTGTTTATTGATTTTCTTAACTTCCTAAATTATAAATCTTTAATTTTTGAGCTATCTTACTTGTAAAAGGCTGGCTTCACCGTCTTACTTTATGATTATTTCAGTTAGTTTGTATGTAAGCCAAGATGTTCAATAATTGAACTAAATAATGGTAAACTGTGAAAGGTTTATTGGCATAAAGCTTCCAAGTCAAAACTTCTAAGTGTTTACTTCAGTCATAGCTAAAATAAGAAACTTGCATTTCATATTCTATTGGGTGTGAACAGAATTCAATATTTTACAATAAAAACAGCAGGTGATTAAAATCAAGCATTTATTTAACATTTCAATTTCTTTATTATCAAGCAAAAGCAAACACAACACATGGTTGGTTCCGTCGTTATTAATCTTTCTAAATTTGTGAAGTATGTTGATTTTAAAAATTACTCGCCTTTAAGTAACAGTGTATTTTAACCTTCTGATTTAATGTTTTGTGTCCATGTATCAATTGTTTTGTTTTGATATCACGAATATTGTAGCTAAATATAACTTATAAATTAGTGCCACGTATGTTTCATATGGATAAAATTTCTTCATTTTGGTGAAAATTTCAGTCGCAAATAAATTTTGGATACATTACACGAGGGAAATACGACCTTTTTCACATCAATACCAATTTACTCTATCATTTATTTCAAATTATATTAATACAGCAAAGTTACAAAATTAACGTGTTGAGTCAAAATTATGACATGTCACAGAATTTCATTTATGCATATCATTATGTGCGATAATTATAATTTTATATAACATGACTTATATAAAGAAGAGTTTTTCCTCATTCATTGAAATTTGATTGATGTGCTATGTGTCGTGGTCTTTTCTAGAATACTGCTTTAGTAAATGTGACTAATTAATATCTCACATAGTGAATTAAATTGAACCTATTGAACATTCTTAGACGCAGCATGAAAATTGAAATTTTTGGTTACTTTTTTAATTATTTTACAGTCAATTACTGACAAAGCCATTTTAAGGTGTTTGTATATCGTAATATGCTAATTTGGAAATCTTCGCACTGTATGATTTTGTTACCAAATAACCAATGACCATCTATCTTGTAAAAATGTACTCACTCTTTTTTAAAAAAAGAGTTGTCAAAAATGAGTACGGAAAGGTTAGTACTCCAGTCCATTATAAAGTTCAATAAACCACAATCCTCTGCCTTTTTTGCGCACTCTTTTAGTCATACTAAAAATAAGGTAATAAATGGCCATAATTTTTCTACTGCCAGGCAGTTTTGATCACATTTTTGTAATACTGGAAAACACAAATACCGATTCAGTAAAAAAAAAACACTGTTCAAAACAAGTATTCATTTTCTCTCTTTTCTTTAGAAAAAGCCAAGTTTATTACTTAGCCATATTAATTAGCTATGTCGAGAATTTATATCCTTTGTTTTCTTACTTAGTCACGTGTTTCTTTCTTTCGTGACACCCGCGCGTGAATGAAGTATAGAAGAGATTTTATTGGTTCTTGGACTAGGCGTTACTCATTATCATACGCGTAAATTTCGCTAATTTGCTTAAAACCGTTTTCCGCTATCGTACTTATTTCAATTATTTAATCTGTGATTGCAAAGAAGGGCGAATTCGGTTTTTTTTACTTTTCATTATTTCTGTTACAACAAGAAGATTAAAAGAGGTCTGTGTTTTGCGAGCAGCTTCAGACACCAATAATCCATAAATACAAAGACAAACAGATATTTGAAGAATGTGAATGAAATAGTTTCTTATGACTTAATTCTTATGTCGTCATATAAATTTTCAATCAATAATATAGATTCGCTATTTTTCCTTATTGTGAAAAACCAACATTATAAAGACGAAACGCAATGTAACAAGTATATACTAAAGCAAATTGGTGACACGAAATTGTTTTTAATTGAGCATTTTTTAATTACTTAACGCATTTGGTCAGAGCAAATTGTTCTTTCTCTTCCTTATTCGTTCATTATGACTTTATTTTATTAACATTTTTAGTTTAAAGTGAATGGTTTGAACCCAGAAGTATCGTTGCATGTTCGTAGATGTAGATTGTCCAGGTTAGTAGAGTTTTTAGAAAGACTGCTGGTGTTGATGTTGAATGACCTTTCGACAACATTAGCGGTAGTCATCTTCAGATCGAGTCAAGTGAGGAGTCAGGTTGGCGGTATTTGTTGTCTTGTTCATACGTCATCATTTTGTCTGTACAGGAAATGTGTGGGTATCAATTGTGTATTGTCATCTGAAAGTAATGTTTGAGGTTATGAATAGATCGTTTTCGTAAAGTGCGGTAATTGTTGTGATCTGTTCATTGGATTTGTTCTAAGTTGGTATACCAACTTCCTAACGTAAAGCCCGCCGCACACTGTAGTCACTCTGTAGTCCCCCACTCACTCTATACGTCACACTGTAATCTCCCGCTCACCCTATGCCACAAAAGCGTTTGATATTTGACTCATCTGTCACGAATGACAAATGTTGTTCAAAACATCCGCGCACACTAGGAAATTCTGTCGATCGCACTTGTCACGAATAACAAGTATGCGCGGCAAGTTTACCAGTGTGCGGCGGGCTTAAGCCTCCATTGTCTGTAGTCAGTTCTGTAAGTAATGCATTTTACCGAGTCCAATTGATTGCTGTGTTTTGTCAGTTGGTGATGTTCAGTAAGTCTAATGTTTAAGTGCCTATCAGTCACACCGAAGTACAAGACGTGGCGACCGGAGCAGTTTATTCTGTAAACTGCACCTTAGCGCTCGTTTGATTGTTTTTTGTCTTTGACGTTTGTTAGCATTTTTCATAGTGTGTCATAGTGTTGTGATTGACTTATGTGCGACACGTATGTTGTATGGTCGTAAAGATACGCGAGATAGTCTCAGACGTACCTTTGAAATAAGGTATCGTTGCTGCTGTTGTTGTGTTGTTCGTTTCGTTGGGTTCATTGTGTTTGTAAGTGTTGCGTTTGATGCAATCAAAGAAACTATAGTCCTTACTCACCCTATGCCACACTGTAGTAACCCACTCACCCTCTGTATCACTCTGTAGTCTCCCACTCACTCTATGTCGAACTTTAGTCCCCCACTCACTCTATGTCATACTATAGTCCCCCAATCTCCCTATGTCATACTGTAAACCCCCACTCACACTATAGCATACTGTAATCTTCCACTCAACCTATGTGTCACACTATAGTCCCCCACTCATCCTATGTGTCACTCTGTAGTCCTCAACTCACTCTATATGTCACTCTGTAGTCCCCCACTCACTCTATATGTCACACTGTAATTTCCCGGTCAACCTATGCCACTAAAGCGGAACTTGAGATTTTTGTGAACTTTGCAAATGCATGATTGAAGATTTATGAATGACAGTCTACGACGCAGAATAAATTGCTTTTCAAAATATAGAAAATTTCCCTAACATTGCAAAGGTCATTCGACAAACTGAAGATTGTCAACGTTATCAATAAAACGTAAGCAATAGCTGCACTAAATATCACTGACGTACATAGCACGACGTACTGATCGACACAAACTATTGTAACAACAAATACAATATATAATATAGATGCAAAATTAATGAACTAAAGCAGAATCAGCCAGAAAAATGGTTGCGGTTTCCACACAGAATTTCGCTCATTGTTATTTATCTTAATTTGAATAAACTTCCCTTCTCTTTTAAAAGCTCTCACTTTGATGTATTTCCCTAGTTGTCGCTTTTTTACTTTCGTCACTTGACAATGTAGACTTTGAGCCATATTTAATGTTAGCTAATAAATACACTTTACAAGTCGCTACACACATCAATTTTCATGTCTTCAAACACACACAAATGTTACAGAATCGATGAAATAACGGGACTAAATAGTGGACTATAAATATTGTCTACTCTTTGTAAAACCTTACAGCAGAGATATATCTAGGATAGTTTTGTAGAAATGGTGCTCTAGTTTTTATAAGATCTCGTTCGGTCAGTTTAGTTTCATGCTTGTCAAAAATGATCGTCAAATCGCAAAAATGCAGTACGCGCGTTCAGCGGTTTTCTCAAGAATATAGTCATTTAATGTCATGTAAAGTATTGTAAAGTAACTCTTGAATATTTGCCGGTGAACTATCGTTAAATCAACAACATAGCAGGAGCATTAAGTTTTATTTGGGTTTTGTTTGTATTTTAAAATTCCCTTTATTTTTCTCTCATTATCGATTTCTACTTTTTCCTATGTAATTTGCAAAATTTTCTTTCAAAGGTAAAAATCTGATTTTTGGAAAATGCCGTAAATCGTTACTGTAATTATATTAATATATATTAATATGATTGGTTGAAATTTGAAAAGAAACAAAGCATTTTGTTTGAATGGAGTATTCATACAAACATAGCTAATTTTTCTAATGTTTTTGCTTTTGACAGAGACGCAATAGATTTATACACAAGCTCTACGAGTACAAATCATCAAAACGCGATGCCTTATGATAAATTACTGCTCGCTCTATTTCAATTTTTGACGAACAAAGCCCGAGATACTGCAGCAGACAGGCTAGAAAACGGTGACGTTGGTAATGAAGGATTTCGCGAATTTATTATACGAGATTTACACGACATCAAAACAAAGCTAGATAATCTTTCGAAAATAGACCTTTGCTCCAGTTTAAACTACTTGGAGGAAGGATTTCTTCTATTTTTTAAATGCATTGACAAAGTAGAAAGTGATAGAAAATGTGAAGAAGCAAGTAATAATGATGAGTCTCAGGCAACTTGTACTACCATCACCACCAGGTATGATCTTTCCCGTGCAATACAACATTCAGAGGATTTTGAAATGGCAAAAAAACGATTTAAAAAATCTCGTGAAGAAGCAACAAGAGCTTTAAGCAACAAAAATTTAAGCTTGGAGGAAAGAATATTTGCCATTTTTGTTAAGATCATGGCACAAATTTTTGAATGCCCGGAGCGTCAGGAGATTGTCATTACTTTATGTTTATCTTATATGAAAAAGCTGCACGAATTTGACGGTGTTCGTCAAATGTTCTCTGTTTCTATCGGTGGTGGCATGAGAGCGATGTTCAAAAAATCCCAAAGAATGGAAAACATGAAGTCTGTCATTCTTCTCAACCATCATTTATATCAGTTCATTGCAAGGATCAACAACAATCACGATCATTTATCAACTTGGCCAAGTATTGAACTTGAAGACGGAAAAATGTTTAATCCAATACAGGACTGGCGCAACGAATTCCCTGTCGAGTCTTGGTATAAAAATTTGATTGAATCTTCCCAAGAAATGGAAAAAATGAAAACCATGATGTTTGAACTTTTGGACAAGATGACTATAAATGAACATTTTACTCCAATATTGACATCACCAGTTGAATTAGTTATGGATTTATTTGTAATTGATATTTTGGTTGCTGGAGGCAACAGAAAGAGTGTTGAAATTTTTTCATGGAAGGAGGAGAAATGGTTTAAGATTGCATCAATGGAAAATAACCACAGGTGTGCTTCATCATTTATTTATAATGACAATTTATTTGTTGTTGGAGGAAGAGACTGCAAATCAATGGAGACATTGAATATAAAACAATTAACTTTGACAAGGAAGACGTTTCACACAGAGCTTCCTTATGTATTTCGGGGTCATCAAACTGTTGTTTGTAAGCAACAAATCCTTCACATTGGAGGACGCATTGAAGAACTCATTGCAGTACTCAATGAGAGCGAAGGAACATCAGATTTGATTCGTGAAATAAAGATAACTGGTGAAACAACTTATGATTTAAAAGAGTTGTGTCATATGCCTGAACCACGCTATGGCCATGGAGCTGTTGTTGTTGATGACAAAGTTCTTATTTTTGGAGGATGGGGGAAAGATAGCAAAGTTTTATCCAGTGTTTTGGAGTTTGATCCAAGGACTCTTACATGTAAGGAAATGCCTCCATTACCTCATCCATTGACTGACATGGCAACAGTTCAATGGAGAGATCAAGTTGTTCTTCTTGGAGGTTATGATGGAAAAGAAACATTGAACAGTGTTATCATGTATGACAGAAGAACTGGTAAGATTACAGTCTTACCATCCATGTTGGAAAAACGATCCCTGTGTTGTGCAGTTATAACTGGTGATACAATGGTTGTCATGGGAGGTGTGGAAAATTTATGGAAAGATCTTAAATCAGTGGAGTGTTTTGAAATGGGAAGTAGTTATTCATGGAGATATCTTCCTTCAATGAACGAATCACGAGATGGAGCTATTGCTGAAGTTTTATCTTTTGGACAAAAGTATGTTTGAGCTCAAAAATGTTTTCCACATGATCATAACGTAATAACTCGTTGAGAATTCGTTTGTAGTACTGTATGTTGAATGTACCATCTTTTCTTTCATTATCTGACTGTTTACGGAAATATATTTTTAAACAATGATCTGAACATTATTACCTATTGAATAAAAGTACATGTATGATATTTTTAGGAAAAAAGGCGAGAAATTTGGGGAAGAAACAAAAAGTGATCAAAGAAGTTTTTCTGCAGGGATCAAGAACACTTTTGAAGAAAAAGATGATCAAACATTGGTTTCAAAATTTCCAGGAGATACAAAAACAGCAAGTAAAAGTAGTTTAATTGCAACAGGCACAAGTGGTAAGTACTATAACTTTTTTTATAAAAACGTTTCTTTCTTAAATGACAAGCATTACATTTTTAATTCTCATGAAATGCATTGCTCGAATTTAATTTATTTAAAAACAATCGGGCAAAGATTCTAAAGTATGTTTTACTTCTCAAGAAGCAGACAGTTCTCCTTTTATGGCAAAACGCTTGCTTAGCAAGGTTACGCATGTCAAAAAATATTAGAGCTTAACATGTTTAAATTTTAACACTTGTAAATTTTTGACAGAACTCTTTGCTTATTAAACTATAACTAAGTCACGAATGGTGTAACAATTAATAAGTAAAATTCAATTTCCTTTGAAAGAGGAAGATTTTATATCAGAAGAGTTTTTATTAATTTTTATAAACAAGAATGATCTTTTCATAAACATGACCCATGTTTGTGCACCTTCTAAAATCTTATATTGATGCATCACTTGATTTGGCAGCATCTATAGCTATCAATAATTAGCTACGTACTTATGAATAATTTAATTCACTAAAACATTTATATAATGTTAGCGACAGTTTCAAATTATGATGACGACGATGATGATGACTTTGACGACGATGAAGTAAAAGATCCTTTCTTCAAAGAAAAGTTTCTATATGATGATGACGACGATGATGATGACTTTGACGACGATGAGGAAGAAGATCCTTTCTTCAAAGAAAAGTTTCCAAATGATGATGACGATGATGATGATGACTTTGACGACGATGAGGGAGAAGATCCTTTTTTCAAAGAAAAGTTTCTAAATGATGAATATGACATTCGAGATGATGTGCATACAAAACTCAGAAGGTATACACTTCAAACTAAAATTCAGCTAAGTCTATGCTAATAGTTTCGTAATGGAAAAATTGATAAAAGTTAACGCAATAACTTGATTTGAAGAAAGCCCTTAGAATATAAAAATGCCTGAAAATAACGCAATAACTTGATTTGAAGAGCCCTTAGACGCAATAACTTGATTTGAAGAGCCCTTATAATATGAAAATGCCTGAAACTCATTCTTTCTTTATAATAACTAAACATTTCTTCTATTGCAAACAGTTTGGAGAATTTCCTTCCCTCCACTTGATATTTCTATGTTTATGATCCATATCTTGGTCAAACAATTTCAATATTTCATTTAGCACCCACTTCGTAATTGCTTTATTTCATGAATTTTATTTACATTTAAACTTAATACAGTTTACCGTGGATGCGAGGAGAGTATGGAACAGTCGGTCCTAACAAGATAATACCTTATGTTCACGTTTTTGTCACAGTTGATTATAAAAAAGGAAGTTCGAATAAAGATGTTTTGAAGAATGAAATTGATCAAAAGTTGGGAACTGGAACTTCGAAGTATGTCGAATTCCGTAAAAAATCATATGAGAAACCGAAGCTTGAACTGTTATCGGATATTGCTGTAAGAAGAAGTAATGAGCCAACAATAAGAGGTACGTTAACGATGTTCTGTTACCATAACGACAAGCATTACGCGTTGACGTGTTTTCATGTTGGTTACAACAAAGATGATATCGACCAATTTCCTGATATGCTTCATGAAGTAAAGAATGACCCTAACGGAGTGGAGTTGTTTTTGAATTCCAATAAATATTTCTACACTCCACCTGAAAACTCTTCTGAAATTCCATTGGGCCATCGATGCAGACTTTATAGTTTAGAAAAAGATACTGACATCATGGCCATAGAAGTCGATGAGAATGTTGATGTATATTGCAAACGACAGGGATTTAACCGCCCTCGCTGGAGTTCCATATGGCAAGAGCTTCACAAAAGAGTTAATAGTCGTGTGACTCCTAAACCTAAAGTGATGAAATTTGTTGGTGAAAACGATAGAAGTGGAGAAATTTTCATGACTAATTTCGGCTATTTTGATGAGGAAACAAACATTGACATTAAGAATGCTGTTCTAGTAAAGAGCAAGAAGCATTTTCTTAAAAATGGTGAATCGGGAGTGCTCGTGTTTTTCATAGATAAAAACGAAAAAAAACAAGCCTTTGGATATGGTGTTGCAAGATGGACATTTGAAGAGGATGAAGAGGAGAACCCTGTTCCTGATCCTGAATATCCTTATTATTACGTATGCTTTAAGCTACAGAGGGCTTTATCTAATTTATTTGGCGAAGGAAATTTCGAGAGATGTGGCTGTTTTGAACGATGTGCAAATGGAGACTAGTATCTTGTTTCTCCAGAAATATTTGATACATATTCGTCAATAAGCCAAACAGTCCTCTTACACTTTAGAAATAACTAACAAACAAACTAGTCTGAAATTTTTATTTGCATGATTTTGTTTTTAGTTTGGCTGTGGTAAATTTCCACTGCGTAGAGGCCACGATGATGAAAAGTATGTTGAAGACATTTCTTTGTTCACTGCAAATCTATCCAGTATATATTTATTAAACTCCCATTTTTGCAGTGGCGTAGTCAGACATGATTTGTCACCGAGGCAGAGATCACCCGAGTGTGCGCTTTCAACCCCTATCCCCCAAGGAAAAATTTGAAATTCTGATGGTCGCGGGAAAATGATTTTGCCACAAAATGCTTTAAACGTTTATCAATATGTAAATTTCGTTTAACTGTCAGTAAATTTCGTTTTATTCAAATACTTGGTTGACTATATGAGCATCATCTTAAATTCATTTTAATATATTACTTGCAAAACTCGTTTGGGGGTATTTTTCAAATTTCAGCATACACACCACAGCGGAGAAAAAATGACAAATTTCTACCGAGGCAGGTGTCTCTGGCCTCGTGGTACTTTCTGCCCTGATTTATCCGTCTTTGAGCAATGGGATTCTAACCAAAGTGAAACTGAATTAATTCTTTGTTTAGTAGATCAATTTATGTTCCACTTATAATACAAAAGATGCTTACTGTGTTTGTAAAGGCTTGTACAAACGGAGGAGACTTTCGGAAAAACTCGAGAGCAGATCTGTGCAAGCCCGAGACCGAAGGGTTTTCACCTCTTTTCAAATTTTCCCTAAAAAGGTTCTATAAAACCAGCTTTTTTTAAAAAAAATATTTAAAACTAGAGGGCATTCAGACTTCACAGGTTCGACAGACCTCCGCCAGGTTCATTATTTTAATATCTGCAAACGTACCGTTCACCCTAGTTGGTCAAATATGTAACATGGCGGCGAACCCAGTCGCGAAACCCATTTTGTTTAAGTAGGTATGTAAATGTTTTTTGGATAAACACAGATATATTTTAAGTACTTTTGATAAGTTATACAACGATGTGCTCAGAATAAGTAATCTTGTTGAGATTGCTTCCTTTTTTGCGTAGCAATATATTTATTGTTGTAAGATTACATTTATTGTATTGATCTGCTTACGCATTCAGTAAGTTTGCAATAAGCAAAACAAAATTTTTCTTCATTTCTTCGTCAATTTTTATCGAGACTAAACCAAACTTTAATCAGTTCTTTCTTGACCGGTGTTTCGTCAGTTATCGTGCGCACAGGCAAACACAAACATACATACGCATAAAAGTGAAAGCATAACCTTCCTGTCGGAGGTAACAACTTTTTCCTTAAAATTATGTTCATGATTGATTTGCAATTATTGTCTTTTATTTATAAAAAGGCTCATTTACACAATCCAATTTTTTCAGATCCCTCTTAAAAAACGGATCAACATGGACCAATAGGTTGGATAAAAAAGGAGAGAGAGGGTTGGAGGAATAGAAAGAAACAGATGCACACTGTGTGTGTTCCGTTATTCCAGTCATATACAATCATCTGTATTTGTTTTTGTAGGATGCAAAGAGGCACAAAATGCCGTTGCAAAATACAGTTCAACACCTGAATACATCGTGGATGCTGAGGTATATATTCCTGCTCCATAACTAAAGGGACACTTGTTGATATTAATATTGAAAGAGTATTTAGGAGTTATTTATGTCAACATGTTTTGTTGTTGCCCTAAAGCCATCGTCTATAATTTTGCTTCAGACAGCTTTATTGATGTCTACGTTAACACGAAGGACTCCTTATGAAGGCAGAAAAATCTAACTTTTCATCCTCTCCCCCCTTTCTTCCCCTCCACCAAGTTTTGGCATTCCATTGTATATTTCTTTAAAATACAACTCATTGACAACGGTCAACCGAAATGTGGCTGTTTTCTTGCGTTTCATCTCGTTATATCATTTGCAGTGAGTAATATCTTAAGCAATGATTTTTAATTAACACAGGGTTATAGCATCCTTGTTGAAAGTATTCTCCACTTCTCTCACCACCCCATTCCCTCGTCCTCTCAATTAGTTTTCAATAAGGAACAAAGTTCATTTAAGATTTAAGTGTTTCAGTCTCACCATTTAAATTACCGGGGGGTGAACGCGAGTAATGTATTCACCTACTTAAAATGTACTATGTCTATCAAAGTGAAGAGATCTTAGAAAGCAGCTCTACCTTATTTTGACAGAAATGAGAGAGTTGGGACCTTTCACATGAAAAATTCTATGAAAACGCCTATACTTCTATGTTTATGTTGTTTTCTTTACAGGATGTTGTGTTGGCCAGCGGTTGCTCTGGAGCAATCTAGATAGCATTGAACGCCCAAGTTGATCGTGGTGATAACATCCTAATTCCAAGACCTGGTTTCTCACTTTACAAATGCATCTGTGGATCGAGGGGGATTGAATCACGATCTTATAAACTCATTGTAAGTTTGTACAAGTTAAAGATCTTGAGTTTACGTTACTGTTTAAGATTAAAGACTGTTATAATTAAGTTCTAATTATGATAATGAAGATTAAGGACTGTCCTAATAATCATGATAATGGTGATCAAAAGATTCCCTACAAACTAACCTTGAGTGTTGATTTGGACTTTATGTTCAAATAAATAATGATTATTCATAATTTTCAGCCTGAAAATGGTTGGGAAGTCGACTTGGACGATATGGCTTCACATATTGACGAGAGAACAAAGCTTATTGTCGTTGTCAACCCATAAATCCCTGTGGTTCTGTGTACAAATGAGAACATTTGGAAGAAATTTTAAACAGTAAATATCTCAAGACATGTACAAATCTTTTCCGCCGATTTTACCAACAAACGCCAATACATCGCCGTAAAATTGATTTCAAGTGTAGCTCGATTTGAAAGCATCAGCAGCGACGAAGGCTTAAGATACTGGGATTTACACATCTAAATATCGTATCACAGCACAATCTGCCACAAAATGTTCGATCGAACTTCGTGGAATTATATTCCGCTATTTATTGTTAAGTAAAACGAGTTGGAGATTACAGTTTGAAAGATTTTTAATGATTTATATAAAGTATTCTTTGTTTTGGATATCATTTTTATAGTTAAAACTTAAAGTTAATATGTTAATGTTTCATTAAATTTTGTTCTGGCAGTGCATCAGCATTTATGTGCTAAAAAACATTTTCTGCTAAAATGTTGAAATAATCAACATAATGCAAAATTTATAACCTTCCTTGCCATACATACCTTCTTTTGTATTATCTGAATTGACACCAATGAACAATAGGTCAAGTAGCTTTTCTTGTTTTGTGAGTTCACAATGTCACTCGTCTTCCTGGTGCAGTCTGGTATTTATAAGCTGAAGCACCTCAATGTATATGTCAGCACCATTATGATTAGAAGGCCTTAAAGGATTAATGGTTCTTTGCAGCTCATCAAGATCTATTTCATTCAATGGAATGTTGGTTTCTGGAACAATCACTTGTTGCTGATCTGTTTCATGACATGCGTAGTTTTGTGTAAAGGTGGGTGGAAATTCTTGGTTTACCTTAGTGAATTGGAACATTAAATCAGATTCTGACTTCAACATACATCAATTAGCTTTGGATCCAGCCTGATGATTATAATGTAAAGTGTAGTCTAAAAGTAAAGTCATGAGTTATTGCATAAAAATATAAAAATACCTGCTGTATATGGTCATTTGAATTATTGGCTAAGCAAGATCCTTGGATCCATAGCTGTTCAGGTGATAGATTTCTTTCTGTTCTTATGGGAGATCTATTGTAACCTTCCTGGAAAATTTCCAAATTTCTGTTAATAATTGGACAAAACACATAATGCAATGAAAACACATTTTCTTCATTTGATGGATCCAATATTCCATTACTTTCCATATGATAGAATAAATGATAAAAAAGACTTGTACAACCAACAAAAAGATCTCGCCAAAAGCGCTCAATCCGTTGGTTGTGCACACTTCTTCCGGTAATATGACTTCCACGACCAGGTCCTCGTAAATGGTGGTTTAACAAAAATTGAGCAATACCAACATTTTCACCTCCTTTATCAGTTCTTACTCTGGATGGCAGTCCATATTGAGATACACCAGATAGAAATAGTCTTAGAACAGTATCAGCTCGATTGTTTGTGCTACAGCGAATAAATACCAGCAAATGTGAATAGCCATCTATTCCTGCATGAGTCACAAATCTCCATCCAAAAATACGAAACTACTAGCACATTTGTATGCAAAACTGAGATTTATTAACGCCCCGAATAGGTATTTTTTAGTAGCCCACCTAATCAATTTGTGATTGCCATCAACATGCCAAAGTGATAAGGGGCTAGCAACTTGATATTTACGTCTGTGCACTGCTCTAAGAGACAAAGTACGAAACAATGTACCCTGTGGATCAACTCTTCGCATCATTTCACGAATCCTATCCTGCTGTATTCGCAAACCTCTTGCTAAAAGCAATCCTGACATTGACATACGTTTGTAGCCAAGATTGGGAAACTCGTTCGTTAAGTTTCTTATGACCAACTCAAGATCTGAATCGTTAACGTCAGAATAACAATTAGAAACTGATAAACCAAACTCATTCATCCTCCTCTCAATAGTTCTTTTGCTGACTCCCAGAAGATTTGCCGTATCTTTCACTCTAAAACGCTTATCCAAAAAATAACGCAGAATATCTTCGTTTACTTCATACATTGGTCGCCCTGGTGTGCCACTGAAAACTTGAGGGCAGTTCAATGAAGAAGATGTAATAATAGCATGATGAACATTGACATTTAAAAGTTCTTTTGCGTTTGAGAATAACTGCAGAACAGCCTCTTCAAGCTCAAATACTTCAGCAAATCGCAACGTAGTATGGTAAAGACAATCAATACGAAAAACGCAAAAATCCCGATTTGGACTTCCTTCGAGGTCAGCAATACAACCCAAAATAGAGTTGCGAAGGAGTCTTACAAAGTATAACCTGTCTGCCATGTTTTAGGGTTGTAGACTTGTAGGTAAAACAATTGGTTTATTTTGTTTTCATTTATATTACCGCATGAAGAAAATAAATTATAAATAAATTATAATGTGATCGAGTAAAATTTGATGTTCTGCGAGTCACGAATAATGTTACGTCATCATAATGGAATGTTCAATAACAAAATGCGTTTTAACGGAAATTGAACAGGACAAAATCCGATTATAAAATTCCAGAATGCAATATGATCAAGACAAAATGCACATTGCAAAGGACAAAAGGCGCATTAGTAATTGGAAAATGTAGCTCTTAATTTTGGCGGAGATCACCCTCCATATATATGGTCTCAAAATCGTCCCACAGAATGTGTCTGTTACAATCACTTCTTAAATAGTGAGAACACTTGTAGAAAAGAGTAGTTTGGGCAAAAATGAGAATAGGCATTCTCGTTTATAAACGATTTTCTTTTCTCCCTACAATCCCCTTAGATTTCACAGTTTTCTCCATAGGTTTCCCCAACCACCTACAAATTACTTAATCTCCCTACTGTAAGGGATTTCCCCTACAAGTGGCTGCACTGACTTATACGCAGTGGTTTCATGTTCACGTGTTTCTTCGTTTCGTGACTCCCACGCGAGGAAGGTATTTAGAAAGAATTTTATTGGTTCATGGCTTTGGTTACATGCGGGAATTTCCCCTTAAAATATTGTCATATTCATTTCAATGCTTTAAACCGAAACAATAAACGAAGTGTGAATATATGTGTCTTCATTTTTTATCATTTTGATAAAAAAGAGAACATTAAAAGAAGCCTGCGTTTGGGGAACGACTTCAGACGCGAGCAATCTATATAAATACATAGAAAATAAGAGTTAAACAAAGTTTCCATAATTTCGAAAAAGCACTATTGCCAATGCACGTTTAATATAAACGACAAGTTTTTTGAGAATAGACATCTTTCAACATCTCATGATGCCATCTTCAGTATGAGTGAAATAATAGGTGATACGAGGTTTATATAAAAGTAATATGATATATAAATTGCTACAATAAAAAGGAAATAAGATAAATTAATGGGGGGCGTCCGAGCGTATTATAAACTAAATATTGTATTGAATTAAAAAACTTGAACATTGAGGTCAGGGTTAGTTTTGTTAATGTGGAGTGAATGAGGTGTCAGTAGTTTTGATGATTTACAAGCAAGAGGGTGAATAGTTGGTCTTACATGAGTGAGATTTAAGAAGGTGTCGGTAGATATGAGAGTTTTTGTCTGTTGTGGTATGTTCCCTGATTCTGATGGATAAATGGCGCGAAGTTTCACCAATGTATTGGGAATTACATCCCGCGCAATTGAATTCAGGATTCCCAGAATCAGGGAACATACCACAACAGACAAAGGGCCTGTTCACACTTAGCTCGCTTTAAGATCGATCCGAGAAGATCGATCTGAGATCGATCTTGTGAATGACCAAGGTCAATTTTGTGAGCGTTCACACTTACCTGACGCAACACGGAGCCGAGCTAGTTTCCTTGACAACAAAGTGTAATATTTATATTATTGCAATCCAAATATGGCGGACGAAGTGATCGCAACCATTTTCAATATTACATCTGAATACCACAAAAAGATGCGAATGCGTCGTGTAAGAAGAAAGAAATATTTTTTGAAACTGAGAAAGCAGCGAAGTAAAAGAAGGGACGGCCTGTTTTATTTTTGGTTTATTGGCGCTCTAGGAAATAAATTAATGAGTGAAAGACGTTTCTGGGTGGATGCAAGCAAAGGCACCGGTTTGTTCTTGGAAAAAAGTATCGATATGTGGAAAGATGATGGGTTGTGGCTAGAAAATTTTCGTATGTCCAAGGGAACATTCGATTTCATTTGCAACAAGATCAATGATACTCTTTTGCGTGAAGATACAAATTTCAGAAAGGCTATCCCTGTGCCAAAAAGAGTAGGAATTTGTCTTTGGCACTTGGCCACCAATGAAGATTTGCGTTCTTTAGCTTGGCGTTTTAGTATAGGAAAAAGTACAGCCTGTGAAATCGTGAACGAGGTTTGCCAAGCTATTTTTGACGTGTTACTACGTCTTGTTATCAAATGGCCAACGGGTGATAGACTGCAGAGTATCGTTGATGCCTTTCTAACGACATGCGGCGTCCCTCAATGCGCTGGAGCCATTGATGGCACTCATATTCAAATTGTAGCACCTTCAAATTCTGCACAAGATTACTACAATCGAAAAGGATTCTACTCTATTGTTCTCCAAGCTGTTGTTGATCATCAATACAGGTACCAAAACGTACTGCTTTTGTCAAGGTTGACTTAATAGCTTGTTTCAATGAAGAGTGCAATGACCTTTCACCTTCTAACAATTTTTAGATCCCATGGGGATTTTAACAGTGACTGATGTAAAATAGGTTTCTTATTAATTTAGAATTCTTAGTAATGTGTTTCATCCAGTTGAGTAAGTAAGTTACACAAAGTGAATTAAATTACACACACTTAAAAAGTAAAAAAATATATATTTAAAAAATTTTGAAGATTCACTGACATTTGCATAAAGTGGCCAGGTCGAGTCCATGATGCAAGAGTTTTGTCAAACTCAGGAGTGTTTGCAAAAGCTGAAGCAGGAAAACTTTTCCAAGATGTAAGTTTTCTGTTCTTATAATGAAAAGCTTATTTTAGGTCAGAGGCAAATTTTACTGCATTTTTGATAATAGCCACTAAAAAATTCATGATCTTGATATACTCTAGGGAGGAAAAGAGATATGTGGTTGCAATGTACCGTTCATGCTTTTTGGTGATCCAGCCTATCCACTGTTACCATGGTTGATGAAGAGGCATCCTAACGATGGCAATCTATGTCCTGCTCAAAAGAAATTTAATTACTACATAAGTCGAGCAAGGCAAGTCGTGGAGTGTGCATTTGGCCGTTTAAAAAACAGATTCAGATGCCTACTTAACAAGAATTATACAAATTTAGATCATTTGCCAATGAAAATTGCAGCATGTAGTGTTGTACACAATATATGTGAGAGTAGAGCTGACAAACTTTTTGCAGATTATGTTGAACTTATCCCTGATGATGAAATTTCAGAATTTGTTTTACAGAATACAGATGCAAGTGCAGAGCAAATTAGAAATTCTTTAACTGAGTTTTTGATAACACAATAAGCTGATGATAGCTAAATTACTCATGTTCTTAAATTAAATCAAAGTTTTTAATATGTTTGTTGACTTTCAGCATCATGGTGAACATTGTAGAATGGTTGTTGCACAGGCTGAGACCTCATTGCTATAGCATTTGCAAGAAGTGACATTGACTCCTTATAAACATTAAGCTCTTCCTTTCGCAACTCTCGCTCTTTTTCTGCTTCTTTTTTCATTTCAGACAAAAACATTTCATCAGACTCCTTGAGATATTTGTTATGCTCTTTCATTGCATTCTCGAATGCCACTTGCATGCTAGAGGGCTTTGCCTTTCCCCTTGGTATTCTTTTTCTTGGCACTGATTTGTTTTCACTTTGAGATGGTAGGGATTCCTCATTTGCTTCACTAGGTAACTTCTCATCTGCGTTACTGACATCTACATAACATATCCCATAAATGTTACGACGTAATAAAACAAAATATAGTACACACATGCAATGCTCTACTATTCACCTGCTTCAATGTAATCGCAATATGGGCAAACAAGTCTGTCATCATCAGCGTATACTGCAGTGCTGTTTCCAACATGGGCTCCTGCTGTCCTAAGCTCCACAAACTCATCGCACTGAGGACATTTTTTTTCAATGATTCTCCCGTGTCCGTATTTTCTTGTAAGCTCGTCTGCTATGAAACGCAAAACCAATATTTTCTTTCGCATAAAAAAACCACTCGATATCAACTCATCAACGATAACTTATCATCATCGTCATGCACGTTAATGCTTTTTATTTCAGCATCAGCTGATGAACACGTTGATTCATCAGATGTATCGATGACGTTTTTTAGACCCCTTGCTTCTGGTCTGTCACCCAAGAAATTGTCCATAACGTTAAAGAATTTAGGTTCCTTGCCTCTCCCAGCTCCTAATCGTGATAATGTGTCTTTGAACTTTTTGTATTCAGATCTCATATGCTTAAATTTAGTTCTACATTGCGTCCAATTAAGATCTATCCCTTTTTTTTTCATTATAATGCTGATTTTTTTATAAATATCAGCGTTTTTGTGGGTACCTTTCAACTTTTGTTGAATTTCTTCTGTACCGTACGCTGAGAGGAGGGCTAAACAGTCTTTTTCTGACCAAACCCATCGTTTTTGCGCCATTTTCCAAGCTTTTTTCTCTGTTTTGATTTTAAATTTTGAGAAAAATGTCTGCGTTTTTGCGGAAACGGCATGGGAGCCAAACTGTTCTATCTAAATAAGCTCACTTACGTTGACATATAAACCGGATCGATCTCAGATCGATCTCAGACCACCTTTCGAACCGAGCTGACTGAGATCGATCTGAGATCGATCTCAAATTTTAGCGAAGGTTCAAACTTAGCTCGCTTTACGTTAGATCGATCTGAGATCGATCTAAACGACCAGTGTGAACAGGCCCAAAAACTCATATCTACCGACACCTTCTTAAATCTCACTCATGTAAAACCAACTATTCACCCTCTTGCTTCAAAATCATCGACACACCGCCGACACCTCATTCACTCCACATTAACAAAACTAACCCTGACCTCAATGTTCAAGTATTTAAATTCAATACAATATTTAGTTTATAATACGCTCGAGCGCTCCCCATTAATTTATCTTATTTCCTTTTTATTGTTGTAATTTATGTATCATATTACTTTTATATAAACCTTGTATCACCTATTATTTCACTCATACTGAAGATGGCATCATGAGATGTTGAAACAAGTCTATTTTCAAAAAAGTTGTCGTTTATATTAAATGTGCATTTAAACGAAGGTTAGTGAAATCTTTTCACATTTTTAATTCTTTTGTCGTCATAAAAACCTTTCATCAATAAAATAGATTCCCTGTTAACCATACCAAAAAACCAACATTATTAAGAAAAATTATAGTTAACTAAGAAAATACTAACAGTTTTAGATAAATTTTGATGGGAACTTGTCTTATAAGAAAATTGTGAATCTAGATTGAGCCTAATTACTCCCACACACTTGGTCAGCCTAAATTGTTGTTTCTCTTCCTTTTACACATTCATGATGTTATATAAGATTATCATTACTTTATTAAAACCACATTTTGTAGACATTGAAAATCTTTTCGTGCATTCAAGTATCAATGATTTATACAATTTGCACTGTCTGATTTCATTTCCATAAAAGTTGAAGAATGTTTAGTATGCTCGCGTGACCAAAACAAATATAAATTTTATGATGCAAATATTGCATAAATATACTCATCGTAAACCAGCTCATCAGACAACTCTACGAGATGCTTTAATAGGTCTGGTACACTTTGTAAGGTGTTGATTAGAAATCGCTACTTTCATCGCTTTTATAATTTTTCAAGTGCTTTTCAATGTGAGATTTTTATTTGTGGTGAATACATTGCACATATAGTTGAAATTTTCATTACAATACCTCGACTTTAGCATTGACATTTAAAGTATGTTTACATTATACGCATATATATAAAAACTATCTATGACAACTTTAGTATAATTCAATTTGTTCACGCTATATTTTCATTGAAAATACTAAGCCCGCTCAGAACTCGGTTCCCGATGAATGAAATGCGGTAATAAATATCTATTTTTTAGTTTTTACTGTTTTATCTTCATTGTTAATGTTTTACATATGAGAAATAACATAATATACAGCTAAAACAACAAGAAATTATTTACCTCCAGCGGTTGTTTGAATTTTAAATATTTTTTCAGAAATTCACATTCTCAATATGTCGCAATTTCTATGCAATTCTATCATATGATATGTAAATAATGGCATTCCAGATTTGAGATATACTGAATACCCAACCAAGGTTTCTCAACTAAACAAAGCTTCCATTCTAAAAGAACACTCGCTGAGTGGGACTTCAAAATCATCTCATGACTATTCCAAGACATTATTTTCACTCCACTACTTGATTTGAAATATTTTAGCAAAAATCTTACCGTCGATAGACGAGTCTGCCGTTCATACGTAAGAGCACAACTTCTGATTCACACTCGATGAGCACGTATGAGTGAGAAGCCTCCCCCCTCACTTCCAACCTTCTTTGGACTAATTTGTGTCAGAAGCTTGTCTTAGATTGAGTGCAACTTAGTTCCTCCATGCATTCGGTCTGCTGAAATTTCGTTTCTCTTTCTAAGGCGTTCTTATGCCGTTCTTCTATTGTAACCACTTATGACAAGGGCAAAAAGTAAGAAAAATAGCCGTGGCAAAAGATTAATGTCAACAATAAATTGATGTTTGTTTTAATTGCTAGTTTTAAATAATAATTTGTACGCAAAAATATTCCTTTAGTTAAAGAAATTTTTGGTATGTTTGATATGTTATTCTCCCCTTCTACTCACGCACGCCTTCACATTTTGGCAATATGCATACAAACGAATTAGTGAAGAAAATAACGTTACATTCAACGAATGCTTTCTGAAATTTGAATGATGTGCTATGGATGTTTAAACATATAAGATTCTGTCGTGATCTTTTCTAGAATACTGCTTTTGTAAAAGTGACTAATTAATATGTCACATAGTGAAATAAATTGAACCTATTGCACATTCTTAGACGCAGAATGAACATTCAAATTATTGGTGATACTTTTAATTATTTTACAGTTAAGGACTTACAAAGCCATTTTAAGATTTTTGCATATCGTAATATGCTAGTTTGGAAATCTTCTCACCGTATGATTTTGTTACTAAAAAACCGATGACCATCTATCTTGTAAAAATTTACTCACTATTTTTTAAAAAAAGGGTTGTCAAAAATGAGTACGGCAAGGTTAGTACTCCAGTCCATTATGAAGCTCAATAAACCACAATCCCCTGCCTTTTTTGCAAACTCTTTTAGTCATACCAAAAATTAGCTAATGCATGGCCATAATTTTTCTACTGCCAGGCAATTTTGATCACTATTTCGTAATGCTGTAAAATACAAAAACCGGTTCCTTCTAAAAAACACTGTCCAAAACAAGTTTTCATTTTCTTTCTTTTCTTTAGAAGAAGCTAGTTTATTACTTAGCCATATTAATTAGCTATGTCGAGAGAATATATCCTTTGTTTTCTTACTTAGTCACGTGTTTCTTCCTTTCGTGACACCCGCGCGTGTAAGAAGTATAGAAGAGATTTTATTCGTTCTTGGACTAAGCGTTGCTCATTATCATACGTGTGAATTTCGCTTAAAACCGTTTTTTGCTGTCGTACTCATTTTAATGATTCAATCTGTGATTGCAAAGAAGGGCGAATTCGGGTTTTTTCACTTTTCTTTATTTCTGTTACAACAAGAAGATTGAAAGAGGTCTGTGTTTGGCGAGCAACTTCAGACACCAATAACCCATAAATGCAAAGACAAACAGATATTTGAGGAAGGTGAATAAAATAGTTTCTTATGACTTAACTCTTATGTCGTCATATAAATTTTCAATCAATAATATAGATTCGCTATTTTTTCCTTATTGTGAAAAACCAACATTATAAAGACGAAACGCAATGTAACAAGTATATACTAAAGCGAATTTGTGACACGAAATTGTCTTTAATTGAGCAATTTTTAATTACTTAACGCATTTGGTCAGAGCAAATTGTTGTTTCTCTTCCTTATTCATTTATTATGATTTTATTTTATAAACATAATTGTTTTAAAAGGAATGGTTATATGATTTTCAATGCTTTAAACCGAAACAAGAAACGAAGGGTGAATACATGTGTCTTCATTTTTTATCATTTTTTTGAAATAGAGAACATTAAAAGAAGCCTGCGTTTGGGGAACGACTTTAGACGCAAGCCATCTATATAAATCCAACAAAAATAAGATTTAAAAAAAGGTTAGTGAAATCCTTTCGCATTTTTACTTCTTGTGTCGTCATACAAACCTTTCATCAATAAAATAGATTCCCTGTTCACCATACCAAAAAACCAACATTATTAAGAAAAAATATAGTTAACTAAGCAAGTAGTAACAGTTTTAGGTAAATTTTGACGGGAACTTGTCTTATATGAAACTTGTGAATCTAAATTGAGCCTAATTACTCCCACACACTTGGTCAGCCTAAATTGTCGTTTCTCTTCCTTTTAAACATTTATGATGTTATATAAGATTATCATTACATTGTTAAACCACAGTTTGCAGACATTGGAAATCTATTTATGCATTCAAGTATCAATGATTGATACAATTTACACTGTCTGATTTCATTTCCATAAAAATTGAAGTATGTTTAGTATGCTCGCGTGACCAAAACAAATATATATTTTATGATGCAAATATTGCATAAATATACTCATCGTAAACCTGCTCATCAGACAATTCTACTCGATGCTTTAATAGGTTTGGTACACATTGTAAAGTGTTGATTAGAAATCGCTACTTTCATCGCTTTTATAATTTTTCAAGTGCTTTTCAATGTGAGATTTTTATTTGTGGTGAATACATTGCACATATAGTTGAAATTTTCTTAACAATAACTTGACTTTAGCATTGGCATTTAAAGTATGTTTATATTTTGTTCACTTGTTCAATTTGTTCACTTTTTTTCATTGAAAATACTAAGCCCGCTCAGAACTCGAGTTCTGATGAATGAAATGCGAATAAATGTTTTCACTTTTTTATCTTCAGTGTTAAATTTTTACATAAGAGAAAAAACCTAATATATAGCTAAAACAACAAGAAATTATTTAACCCCAGCGGTTATTTGAATTTTAAATATTTCTTCAGAAATTCACATTATTGTCAATATGTCGCAATTTCTATGTCATTGTATCATATGATATGTAAATAATGGCATTCAAGATTTAAGATATACTAAATACCCAGCCAAGGTTCTCGATTAAACAAAGTTTCCGTTCTAAAAGCACACTGCCTGAGTGGGACTTCAAAATCATCTCATGACTTTCCCCAGTCCTTACTTTCTCTCCCCTACCAGATTTGAAATATTTTAGCAAAAATCTTACAGTCCATAGACGAGTCTGCCTTTGACACGTAGGAGCACAATTCCTGATTGACACTCGATGAGCACGTATGATTGAGAAGCCTCCCCCCTCACTTCCAAGCTTCTTTGGACTAATTTGTGTCAGGAACTTGTCTTAGATTGAGTGCAACTTAGTTCCTCCATGCATTCGGTCTGCTGAAATTTCGTTCTTCTTTCTAAGGCGTTCTTATGCCGTTCTTCTATTGTCACCGCTCACCAGAAGGACAAAAAGTAATAAAAATAGCAAGACAAAAGATTGATATCACAAATACATTGTTGTTTATTTTAAATGCTAGTTTTACATAATAATTTGTACGCAAGAAGATTCCTTTAATAGAGACATTCTTGGTATGTTTGATATGTTCTTCTCCCTTCTTCCTACGTACGCCTTCACATTTTGCCAATATCCATACAAACGAATTAGTGAAGAAAATAACGTTACATTCAACAAATACTTTAAAATTTGAATGATGTGCTATGGAAGCTTAAAAATTTAAGATTCTGTCGTGGTCATTTCTAGAATACTGCTTTAGTGAAAGTGACTAATTAATATCTCACATATTGAATTAAATTGAACCTATTGCACATTCTTAGACGCAGCATAAACATTCAAATTTTTGATGATAGTTTTAATTATTTTACAGTCAATGACTAACAAAGCCATTTCAAGATTTTTGTATATTGTAATATGCTAGTTTGGAAATCTCCTCACCGTATGAATTTGTTTTTGAAAAACCGATGACCATCTATCTTGTAAAAATTTACTCACTATTTTTTAAAAAAGGTTGTCAAAAATGAGTACGGCAAGGTTAGTTCTCCAGTCCATTATGAAGTTCAATAAACCACAATTCCCTGCCTTTTTTGCGCACTCTTTTTGCCATACTGAAAATTAGCTAATACATGGCCATAATTTTTCTACTGCCAGGCAATTTTGATCACAATTTTGTAATGCTGAAAAATACAAAAACCGATTCCTTCAAAAAAACACGGTCCAAAACAAGTGTTCATTTTCTCTCTTTTCTTTATAAAATGCCAAGTTTATTACTTAGGCATATTAATTAGCTATCTCGAGAGTTTATATCCTTTTTTAACTTACTTAGTCACGTGTTTCTTCCTTTCGTGACACCCGCGCGTGTAAGAAGTATAGAAGAGATTTTATTCGTTCTTGGACTAGGCGTTGCTCATTATTATACGTGTGAATTTCGCTAATTCGCTTTAAACTGTTTTTAGCGGTCGTACTCATTTCAATAATTCAATCTGTGATTGCAAAGAAGGGCGAATTCGGATTTTTTACTTTTCATTTTTTCTGTTACAACAAGAAGATTGAAAGAGGTCTGTGTTTAACGAGCAACTTTGAGGAAGGTGAATGAAATGGTTTCTTATGATTTTATTCTTATGTCGTCATATAAATTTTCAATCAATAATATAGATTCGCTACTTTTCCTTATTGTGAAAAACCAACATTATAAAGACAAAACGCAATGTAACAAGTATATACTAAAGCAAATTTGTGACGCGAAATTGTCTTTAATTGAGCAATTTTTAATTACTTAACATATTGAGCAATTGTTGTTTCTCTTCTTTATTCATTCATTATGACTTTATTTTATTAACATTATTAGTTTAAAGTGAATGGCTTGAACCCAGAAGTATCGTTGCATGTTTGTAGATGTAGATCTGTCAGGTTAGTATAGTCCTGAGAAAAACTGCTGGTGTTGATGTTGAATGATGTTTGGACAACATTAGCGGTAGTCATCTTCAGATCGAGTCACGTAAGGAGTCAGCCGCTCTACCTGTTGAGCTACCAAGCCTACAGGGATTGGAGACGAGTCAAATCATTTTTAAACTGCGTATGGACGAGAGATTCCCGATATTATAGCATTTTACTGGATGGCACCGTGTTTCGACTTTATTCCAAAGCCATCATCAGAGAATATATATAATATATTTAACTTTTACAAACCGGTTTCATACGCAGTTTAAAATAGATTTGACTCGTATTCCATCCCTGTGAGCTTGGTAGCTCAACAGGTAAAGCGGCAAACTAGTATCCCGAAGGTGCGAGTTCAAATCTCGTCCTAGTCACATGTTTTTCATGTGCATATTAAAACCTTGTTAAGATTAATATATAATACATATTCTCTGGTGATGGCTTTGGAATAAGGAGTAAGGTTAGCGGTATTCGTTGTCTTGTTAGCGGTATTTGTTGTCTTGTTCATACGTCATCGTATTGTCAGTACAGGAAATGTGTGAGTATAAATTGTGTAATGTCATCATGAAAGTAATGTTTGAGGTTGTATTAAACCGTGTTTGGTAAGGACCGGTGTTGATCTTTTGGTGGTTGTTCTAAGTTGGCATACCAACTTTCTAACGTAAACCCTGCATTGTCTATGAGTCAGTGCTGTAGTAATGCATTTTGCCGGTCCCAATGAATGCTGTGTTTTGTCAGTTGGTGATGTTCTGCACTGTGATTAGTTTTGTCTTGTTTCTTTGTTCCTTATTTTGTTCCAATGTCGTTCCTTCAATCCAACTGTCTTGGCTCCATGCCAATCTGTTTTCCTGCACTGTTTAATTATTTCCACTATTCATTTTGTGATTAGTTTTATATGCGACACGTATGCCATTATAATCGTAAGATACGCAAGATAGTCTCAGACTTATTACCCAAGTTGTTACTGCTATTGTTGTTTATTTTATTTTATTTAGTTCACGTTCATTGTGTTTATAAGTGTTACGTTTATGACATCAAAACTTTAGTTTCCTCATCCATGCCACTGTGCCACTCACCCATATTTTCACTCTTGGTCCCTCCCTCACTCCATGTCACACTGTACTCTCCCACTCACCCTATGTCACACTGTTATTCCTCACTCACTCTATGTCATACTGTACTCCCCCATTCACACTATATCACACAAGAGCCCCCACTCCCTCTATTTCACACGGAAGTCCCCCAACACCCTATGTATCACACTGTAGTCTCCAACTGACCCTATGTCACACAGTAGTCCCCCACTCACTCTATATCACAATGCAGTAACCCACTCACTCTATATGTCACACTGTAGTCCCCAACTCACTATGTCACTAGCTGCGGAACTTGAGATTTTTGTGAACTTTGCAAATGCATGAAGATGCATGAACGACATTCAACGACCCAGAATAACACTGCAACGGTCATTCGACAAACTGAAGATTGTCAACGTTATCAGAAAAACGTAAGCACTAGTTGCACTAAATATCATTGAATGAATTCTGTTGAAAAGGTCAAAGTGATTTTAGTCTTATAAATTAAAGCAAGACGTACTGATCGACACAAACTATTGTAACAACAAATACAATATATAATATAAATGCAAAATTAATAAACTAGAGCAGAATCAGCGAGAAAAGTGGTTACGGTTTCTACACAGAATATACCTCATTATGTTATTTTTCCTAATTTGAATAAACTTCCCTTCTCTTTTAAAAGCTCTCAATTCGATGTATTTCCCTCGTTGTCGCTTTTTTACTTTCGTCACTTGACAATGTAGACTTTCAGCCATATTTAATATTAGCTAATAAATACACTTTACATGTCACTACACACATCAATTTTCATGTCTTCAAACACACGCAAACGATACAGAATCGATTAAATAACAGGACTAAATAGTGGACTATAAATATCGTCTACTCTTTGTAAAGTCTTCCTGCAGAGAGAGATCTAGGATAATCTTGTAGTAATGGTGTTCTACTTTTTATAAGAACTCGTTCGGTCAGTTTAGTTTCCGGCTTGTCAAAAATGATCCCTAAATCGCAAAAATGCATTACGCGTTCAGCGGTTTTCTCAAGAAAATAGTCATTCATTGTCATGTAAAGTGTTGTAAAGTAACTCTTGAATGTGTGCCGTAAACTATCATTAAATCAACAACATAGCAGGAACATTGATTTTTATTTGGATTTTGTTCGTATTTTAAAATTCCCTTCATTTTTCTGTCATTATCGATTTCTTCTTTTTCTATGTAAATTGAAAAATTTTCTTGCAAAGGTAAAATCTGATCTTTGGAAAATGCTGTAAATCGTTGCTGTAAACTTATTAATAACCATTAATATGATTGTTTGAAAATTTAGAAAAAATTTAGAAAAAATTTAAAAAAAATTTTAGAAAGCATTTTATTTGAATCGAGTATTCATACCAACACAGCTAATTTTACTAATGTTTTTGCTTTTGACAGAGACGCAATAGATTTATACACAAGCTCTACGAGTTCAAATCATCAAAACGCCATGTCTCTAGATAACTTACTGCTCCCCTCATTTCAATTTTTTATGGACATAGCCCGAGATGCTGCAGCAGAAAGGCTAGAAAAGGGTGACGTTGGTAATGAAGGATTTCGGAAATTTATCAAGCGCGATTTACACGACATCAAAACAAAGCTAGATAATCTTTCGAAAATAGACCTTTACTCCAGTTTGGACTACTTGGAAGACGGATTTGATATATGCATTGAGAAACTAAAAAGTGATTTAAAATGTGAAGAAGCAAGTAATAGTGTTGAGTCTCAGGCAACTTCTAGTGCCATCGCCACCAGGTATGATCATGATTCCCGTGCAAAGGTTTTTTTATTAGCAAAGGATCGATTTAAAAAATCTCGTGAAGAAGCAACAAGAGCTTTCAACAACAAAAATTTAAGCTTGGAGGACAAAATATTTGCCGTTTTTGTTAAGATCATAGCACAAATTTTTGAATGTCCGGAGCACCAGGAGATTGTCTTTGGTTTATGTGTATCTTATATAAAAAAGCTACATCAGTTGAAGGGTGTTCAAGAAATGTTCTCTCTCACTATCGGTGGTGGCTGTTGGGCGATGTTCAATCAGTCCCGAAGAATGGAAAACATAAAGTCTGTCATTCTTCTCAACCATTATTTATATCATCTCATTGCGAAGATCAACAACAATCATGATCATTTATCAACTTGGCCAAGTATTGAACTTGAAGACGGAAAAATGTTTAATCCAATACAGGACTGGCGCAAGAAATTCGCTGTCGAGTCTTGGTATAAAAATTTGATTGAATCCCAAGAAATGGAAAAAATAAAAACCATGATGATTGAACTTTTGGACAAGACAACTATAAATGAACATTTTACTCCAATATTGACATCACCAGTTGAGTTAGTTATGGATGTATTAAGAAATGGTATTTTTGTTGCTGGAGGCAACAGAAAAAGTGTTGAAATTTTTTCATGGAAGGAGAAGAAATGGTTTAAAATTGCATCGATGGAAGATTATCACTTGAGTACTTCATCATTTATTTATAATGATAATTTATTCATTGTTGGAGGTTATGGCTGCAAGTCGTTGCAGACATTGAATATAAAACAGTTACCTTTGACATGGAGAAAATTTCCTACAGAGTTTCCTTATGAATGTCGGGATCATCAAACTGTTGTTTATAAACAACAAATCATTCTCATTGGAGGAGACATTGCTGGCAAAGGACGATCAGATTTGATCAGTGAAATAAAGATAACAGGTACAACATCTTATGTTTTGAAAGAGTTGTGTCATATGCCTGAACTACGTTGTGGCCATGGAGCTGTTGTTGTTGATGATAAAGTTGTTATTTTTGGAGGACAGCAATATGATGGCAAAGATTTGTCCAGTGTCTTGGAGTTTGATCCAAGGACTCTTACATTTAAGGAAATGCTTCCATTACCTCATCCATTGACTGGAATGGCAACAGTTCAATGGAGAGATGAAGTTATTCTTCTTGGAGGTTCTGATGGAAAAGAAATTTTGAACAGTGTTATCATGTATGACAGCAATACAGGTGAGATAACAGTCTTACCATCCATGTTTGAAAAGAGATCTTGGTGTTGCGCAGTTATAGCTGGTGATACAATTGTTGTCATGGGAGGTAAGAATGTTAAATATGAAGATCTTGAATCAGTGGAGTATTTCGAAATGGGAAGTAGTTCTCTATGGACATGTCTTCCTTCAATGAATAAATCACGATGGAGAGCCATTGCTGAAGTTTTACCTTTTGGACAAAAGTATGTCTAAGACACAAAATTTCATTAAGTTATGAAACGTTATAACTCATCAATGTTCGTTTGGACTACATTGGATGACAAATGTGTAAAATTTACAATGTATAGTTCAAAAGTTTATATAATCATTGACTATTTTGATAAATTTCTGAAATAGGTGAATGTCTTTTGTATCTAAATAAGTCTGAGTTTTTAGAGAATAGTTTATAACTTTTTCTTGTCCTTGTTTAATTGCAGTTTATTGACCAATAAAATACAAGTTTTTCATGCTAAAAATCACTTTACTTAAAATATTTTTCGTAGTGGCAAAATACTTTATTTCCCAGTTTACCATCCACCACATTTACAAAAATCTATTAATTATGTTACACATTTGAAATGTTGTGAAGACAATCAGTTTGTAATTAATTTCTTATTCGCGAACACAATCACTTTCTGCATTACTGAAGTAATAATATTTAAGCCTGGTTCACACGAATAAAACAAGCACGAACGTCGAGACTTTTGTTACTATTGCTCTAGAGGTTTATAATGACAAACACATAGGGATTTTCTTTAAATCTTTTTTTTGTTCTTCTCTTAGCTTATGCTTGAATTTTTCCCTTATGCCTGCGCTTATGTCGATGCTTATGTCAAATGCTTCCTTGATTATCTTTGTTTTATCTTTTATCTACGCTTGTGCTTATCTTTATTTCACTCTTGTGAACCAGCTGGCTTTAATTTTCAAACTCATTTCTTAAAACCATTCGTTTTTCACTGATTTTAAAAAATCATAGTGGGAAAATGAAATCCAAAATTCGTTTTTTGTTTTTTAAATCAAAAATTGAATTCAAATTTTATTTTTTGCTTTTTGGTGTTTCGCGAAAATTGAAAATCGAATCAATTTTCGTTTCTTGTTTCTCCAGTTATAGTTCATAAACAAACGACGAAACATAACACCACAGTTGTCTTTACTTTTAACAGAGCAATCAGAGGAGGGAGAGTAAGAGTAAAATTAAGTTTTTGTACAAAGAAATAATGAATCAGCAGAAAATTAAATTATTATTTATATCGAACTAAGGTATGAAATTTTTGTCTTAAAAGTTTCGTCGACAAAAAGTGTTAAAAATCTAACATTATATGTGGGGATTTTTAGCAAAAAACAGGCATGTTTTTATTTGTGCAAGGTAATTTGATATTGTGTTTTACGCTTATATTTTGTATAGCAAAAAAGTGTAGCTCTTTTGCTCCCCAATGATATATGTTTTTTATTTCATAACAATGAGAAATGATCGGGTACCAGGGGCGGATCTAGGCCATGGCGAAAGTGGCTTGAGCCACGGTCAGAATTCTGCCACTTAAGTTTTTCCAGGGTTGACTTTTCATGATTAAAAGTTTTGCTCAAATACAGCAAAATTCGATCAAAAGCCAAACTTGAATAAATTTTGTAATTTTTTTGTCAAAAATTTGTGTTAACAGAACAAAAACTTCAAATTAAATGTCTTGTTAAAATAGTATTATCATCCAGTTAAACTCTGAACTGTAAAATCACCGAAAGCGTCTCGAATCTTGCCGAATACACCATGACTATGCTCGGAATATGCTCGTAAATTCGAGCCTGCAATCTCAGAATGAAGAGCCACGGTCAGCGTTCAAAAAATTTCGCAATAGTTGCTAAATATAGTAACCTTCAGCCACGGTGCAGCGTTGCAAGCCAATCACAGGGAACGTTTTGGTCATGTACGCCATGGTGAGCCACGGTGAATGTATTTTGATTGCGCAATAAATACAAGTCATATGTAATAGCTCGATTCTTGTCGACTTGAAAAACGTTACTTTTAGTTCTACTCAGCGATTAGGATCAATGGAAGCTTCTAAAAAGATCGATGTTCTTGAAATGCTCGTCCAAATCTTTCAGCAAGAGAACGCTTGCGAAATTTTTTCTGGTGAATTGTCTAACTTGAGACAATACTGTGGTAAAATAATCAACGAGGAAAGGCTTCGTCGTATAAATTTTACTGGTGATATTATGCTACGAACTTGTTCATTTTGAAAACTGCAGTTCCCTGAAAGCCAAATTGAAAGATCAAGACCCAATGTCCCTGTTAGGTAAGAATTTACATGTATTGGGGTATTAATTTATGTTTTTATTTACGTTTGACATCTTGGCCTGAAATATATGATCAATCCGTTAATTTTCAGCTATTCATATTTAGTGTATCATGTAAAATATATGTCTAAAGCTGTCATTATTTTGCATACTCAGTCTGTCTAATGTACGGCCTAAATAATTTTAATTGTTACTGTCTGTTAAAAAAATGTTTTACTTCAATATTAGTCAAAGCTAGTCCTTTTTAAAATTTAACCCAATCAATAATGTATTATCCTTGTATTCCTGGCATTTTATGTTATCCCCTGGTTTAAGAAACTAACATATTTTGAATAACTGTTACTTTCTTTCGCGATTTGTAGAGAATATTGATGCTATAGTAGATGGAATCAATAAGTCGTCTGAATCCTGTTCGACATGCCTAGACTAGTTCCAAATCTTAGACTACCTGCCTATGACTTTGACTTTATCATGATGTTACCAAATTAACACAAAGAGAAAATAACTTTCTCAATTTCAATATTTTTAGTCTATCTTTAACAGTATTGGTTACCCCTATTTATTCTAATGTCAGAGTCAGTCTAGCAGATTTGTTTCCAGGTATAACTTGGTATAACAAAGCAACCATTGATACTTAAATACTAATTTTTCTTTTAGTACTTTAGCCAATGGGAATTGTCTGTTCAATGCATGTTCTATTGCATTAGTTGGGAATGAGACTCTCTCTATTTACTTGAGATTCCTAACTAGTGTTGAAATGTTTGAGAATGCAAAATACTATTCTACCCATCCTGTCATCGAGTCCCAGGATAAAAATGGTGCGTTCACTTCACTTAAAAATGCCTTTGCCATGTGTATATCCGATGCAGCTCTAACCTCTTTAGAAAATGCGAATGAAATTGCAGCAGTTTTACAAGAAGCAGTGGAAACAGCGAATAATTACACCTTTTCACCCTTGATGTGTATGTTTGCTTTGTCCACAGTAATCCAGTGTGCTATTCAGTCATACTACCCAATTACTAATGATGCTGAAGTGAAAGGAAATTCGGATTCGTTGGCTAAAATGTTCAATTGTACAATATATCCAAGAGATTTTGTTGATGGGAGTGCAATTGACTATGTCCATATCTTTCGTTGTGCTGCGATGCCACCTTTTATTTGGTAGATCAAAAATCCCATCCACCAAAATCATTTTGTTACTTTGTTTTAGAGGACCACCTTTGAACATTGCTTTTATTAATCTTGCTATCTTTACCATTGTTGGATAAACATCTTTGCTGCTGTTGGAAGAAGATCACCTTTGAACATTGCTTTTATTAATCTTGCCATCTTTACGGTTGTTGGATAAACATCTTTGTCGCTGTTGGAAGAAGATCACCTTTGAACATTGCTTTTATTAATCTTGCCAACTTTACGATTATTGGATAAACATCTTTGCTGCTGTTGGAAGAAGATCGCCTTTGAACATTGCTTTTATTAATCTTGCCATCTTTACCATTGTTGGATAAACATCTTTGCTGCTGTTGGAAGAAGATCACCTTTGAACATTGCTTTTATTAATCTTGCCATCTTTACGGTTGTTGGATAAACATTTTGTCGCTGTTGGAAGAAGATCACCTTTGAACATTGCTTTTATCACCTTAACTTTATGATTATTGGATAAACATCTTTGCTGTTGTTGGAAGAAGATCGCCTTTGAACATTGCTTTTATTAATCTTGCAATCTTTACGATTGTTGGATAAACATCTTTGCTGTTGTTGGAAGAATACCACCTTTGAACATTGCTTTTATTAATCTTGCCATCTTTATGGCTGTTACAAAAGGCATCCTTGCTGATTTTCGAAAAAGACCATTTTATGGGGCAACAAAGAAGGAGAATTATTTTTTTGTAGTGAACTGTCTTTTGGTTATTCACTGCAAAAATAACATGCTTCATCTTTCTCTCACTCCTGTGGCAACAATCCTGTGATTACAGAAAGTTACGGAAACTGCGTTGATTTTACATTAGACACCACAACGTAAGTAAAATTTTTATTTTTCTATCCGAACAGAATTAAAAAATGGCGATATTAGAAATTTTTTTAGATAAGATTATAACTAAAATATTGTTATATTCAACATTAAAAATGCCGGAATTCGCTTTTCCGAGGGTCTAGATTTCAAAATTTTCTGGGAGAGCATGCCCCCAGACCCCCAAAGCGTTGTCTCGCGCCCAAGGCGCTCGCTACGTCACAGGGCCACGGTCAGCCCAGAAGCTGGATCCGCCCCTGAAAAATGTAGCTCTTTTGCTCCCCAATGATTTATGTTTTTTATTACATAACAATGAGAAATGATCGATTACTTCTCAAATAAAAATTATAACTCGAAACTGCATTTTTTTATCATTGGAAATTGAGTTCTGCTTAATGAGATTTCATCGCCATTTTAAAAGAAAGCAAAAGAAACAGTGGATTTCCCAATAAATAGTAAATATTCTATATGGAGATGAGATAAATATTATTTCACAAACAATTTGCAACATTATGTTTTATTCGTTCATTTTCACGCTTTTATTCGGTGGTTCGTAATCGTAATACTGCAAAATCTCAAGATTTGTCTTGTAACCTAGCAACTGTCTTTTCTCTACGTATTTCGCCTATCTTCAGAGGACGGAACCATTGAGTTCTATAATAACTGCAGCGGCTATCTCTCAAAAGTTGATTCAAGTTTGTTTTTGCGTTTGAATTTCATATCAGAGTAATCATGTAGACGCATTTACATGAATTTTGAAAATTTTTGTGAAGAATCATCGCAAAGGTAGAAATAAGAATAAGCCATTTTATTTCAGATATATTTGTAAAACTTGTAGTTTATTGTAACATTTCATCAACAGTTTCAAACTATTCATAGCATGTCTGAGATTCAAATTAGTGGCCGGCACAATGGTGCGAATCAATTTAATTTTCCAGTTCATTTTACCTTGAATTAAATATTTATGATTCACACATTTACTATATTTTGACATCATTTAATTACACAATTTGCACTGATACCATAACAATGATTTTTGTTGCAATTAAATAATATCGATAATAATTTTATCTACATCTAAAATGTGTTGACAAGGTTATGACAGAAGTCAACATTGAAGAACTGCATGAAAAATTGACCACATTGATCTGTAGCCAGTCTTCATTGTCATCCTCT